GAGGTTCGGAAGCTTAGAATTTGAGCTTAGGGAAGGAAGACCACCCTAAGTTAAGAGAATTAGTGTCCGGGGACAGGAAGACCATCCCTTGACATTCATAGACGAGATTTGGGAGGTGGAAGACCGCTCCCTTCGATAGAGACGACCTGAGAGAGACGGAAGACCGCTCTCTTTGAAGATTTCTTTTTATTTCTTTTTTCTATCTACACAACGAAATCTATTTCTATTCTGATCAAGATCTTTCGTGCCCCTCGAATTTGCGTGATTGTTTGGGTGTGATTTGAGGTTTAGCCTTTCCACTCGAGCGAGCACATCAGTGCAAATAATGTTGCTTGCCTAATATTTATGCCATAGGTGTGATTAGCCTGAGTACCACATATGAAGACTGGGTATTGACGTACCCAACGGAGGACCGCCTCATGGTCTTCTTGGCTTCCTGGTGCGTGTGTTGGCAGTGGCGGTGGGGTGCACGCTGCACGGACAGGAGGGGCCGGGGCTGGGGCGGGTCCCACTTTTTTTGCAGCGCCCTGACGGAAGGCAGGACCATGCCGAGCGCCGAGCGCGTAGCCGCACAGGAACGCGACGACGAGCACGAGCGCGTAGGCGCCCGTGGCAGTGGAGACGCCCATGATAGGGGCCGATCGTCCCAACAGGGACGTGTGCCAGCCGTTGTTGTGCAGGCCGTCGATGGCCCGTGAGACAGCCGGGACCTAGGGAAAAAAAGAAGGGCATGTCAGCATGTGTCAGCCATCCCAGAGCGATAGACGGCGCGGGAGACGAAGGGCCCCGAGACAAACACGCGCAACGCGTGGTGACAGAGGGGAAGACAGTACCCCGGCCCGGACACGCCGGTGGCTGTGCCGAACCGTCCACGAGCCGTGACGGACCAGATCACGTGTGTGATCGGACCGTCGTTCTGCCGAGAGAAGTGGAACTGACAAAACGAGTTCCACTTCCACCTGAGTTCCACTTTCCAGTCCGAGTTCCACTGGAAAGTCATGTGAGCGCCTTGGCGCGCCATCGGCTCGTCGTTGTCTTTAGACACATTGTGGCACACATGCTAGAGATTTAATTTTTTATTTAAAGACAAGATATTTGCCTCGCTTCGCTTCGGCCATAAACAAAATCCGCCACTGAGCAGAATCTCAGAAGAATAATTTCGGATGAAACTCGAATTCCTAGAGGACCACGGCGCCAAAATGAACGAAACTCAAGGTTTGACTTGGAGACTGGCGGCTTGAGAATATGCGGAACCTAGCCCTGTGTCATACCATCGAAAGTTGACATTTTGTAAGGGTGGGATCTCAAGAGACTAAAGTCTGGGGCTAATGGAACTCGGAAAGGCAAGCCTATGGCACATGTGAAAGAGCAGAGTTGACGCGATAGACACGCGCAGTGCAGCCGAGCAGGCGCTTATGAGTGCTTATGTGAAAGGAGAAAAAAAACAGAGGATGAGAGATGAAGATGAACGCATGTGGAGGGAGAGAAAGGGAATAGAGGAGCAGGGAAGTAGAGGATCAAAAGTTACAACGGTGTGTAGGGTACAGTATTAATTGTCCGTCATGCAATACTCTAGGAAATAAGGACACATAGACTAAAGGAATAGGAGGGGAAGAGAAAAAATTAAGAAGCATTGAGGGGAATCGAGGATAGGACATTGCCTGATGACCTAGGGGTAGAACAGTAAAGTGTCTGAGGGAGGAGAGACGAAACGGGAAAACGGGCACGAGCAAACGTACAAACAGACGTACACGAAGTCGAGGGATCTGCTTCATTTATATATAGAGGTATATACAATCTAATCTTATCTGACGGCCGATTAGATCAAACTGCTGAAGCAAATAGGCATGCGGCACCGTTTTTGCGCTTTCACCTCCACTCAGTCTGACTATCTGCGGCTGTAGTGCTGCTTGAAGACTGTTCAAACCATCTTATTTCTGATTCCCTTGGTAATCAGTCTTTGGGTACACCTACCCTGCTCTTTGCCAGCCGTCATCTTGGTTCATTCTTCCAGTTCTTTCTCATGGATCGAGTGGTTGGACCGTGGACTGCTGGGACATCTTGTGAGTATACTATCGTAGATATTCATCTACCATCGTCGGGTCTAACTCATCAAATAGATGGCCCGATCCTGTCGCAGACGGACCTCTACCTGTTGAATACGGATCTACAGTTGAACCCCATTCTTGAGGGTAAACTCGACAACCAGCCCCTCCAATTCCATCTCGTCACAGGTGGGCGCTGTTCCTCTCATTTGTCTGTGGAAGCTCCATGACATTCTTTGCCATCACTGCACAGGCTTCACGACGTCAGGTTCACGAGAGCTGGCTGGCAAAGATGAACCAGCAACACTGCCTCGCGTCACGCAACTCATCGTCATCTCTCGCCTGTCACCGTGGTGCACAATCATCAAGAAAGACACTGGTGTAACGATTGGGGACGTGTGTTCCGCGATCTACAAAGAGTCCGTGCTGTCCACTCATGTTTCTATTTCTTGCCCGTTCTGAACGAGTGTTGGCGTTTACAGCTATACCGATCATGATATCACCGATGCCGAGTTCCAGACACTGAATGCCAGGTTGCAGGAGCAGGTGAAGCGAACGGCCGCGGCGAACTTTACGCAACTGCAAGGTCCTCAGGCAGGAGGTGCTTGGGGGTATTACCCTCCTGCTGCAGCACCCGATCGCCTACGACGTGTCGGTGCGTGAACGGGGTATCTCGGAGCTTGGCAGTCACGCTAACTTGAAATTTACCGTGTCTATAGACTGGCTACGAGAACGTGTGTACTTCGAAGGGCTGAGCAAGGACGACAAATACGTGACTTCAAGACTTGGGTTTAGGGCACCGAATATCTTTGTTATGGACTTGGTTTCATGATTGGTTGATTCTTTATCTATCTATACCACTTCTGATCTGCTGTATTCGTGCATCCTTGTATCTACTACGCCCAGAGTTGCTCCACTGTACTGTTCGAAAATTTTCCTAGGCTGTGAGTGCCGAGAATAAATCCATAACCTGTCAATCTGAAGTATGGATTTGTGGTCCGAGGCTGTATCGGGACACCGGTCCGGGCTCTGCACTTCCACCACGTGACTAATCAACACGATCGGCGACGGAACTTTACCTCTCTTTGAAGTCTTTCCCTAACCACAATCTCAGACTAGAATCGGCGGGAGGAAAGCGGTGACGGAGCTCTCTGGGATCTCTTTATTGGTGTTCAGTTGTATGAACTTGGTCCGATCACCAATGCGGTGCATTTTCTGGTGAGTGTCGTTCCTCTTGTTGTACCGAGATGCTGAAAGCTGAACAAATTCGCAGAACATCGTCCTTTTAGTCTATACCCGCAACACGTTCTTAAAACTTGTGGACGAGCTATCATTTCTGCGCCTCGTGTTCATTAGAGTCTGTGAGTCAAACCACGTCGTTTAACTCTTTCGTGTGATGCTCACTTCCGTTTTGAACCCAACTATTGTCTGTGATGACTCTCAAGATATCACCTGTAATAATCACTTACAATGACCTCACGTCGGGGAACCCCAACCACGCCCTTCATCCCTCCACTCGGCAGCCCAGGCGACCCTGCGTCTGCCCCAGTCATCCCAAATAGCGGAGGGTCGCCAAGCTGGAATCCTACATCTTACGCACCTCCACCAGGGGCGTCGCCATACCACGGAACACCATTCATTCCCCACCTCAGCCCCGCTGCCTTGGGACCTCCCGTCATCCCAGGTGTCATGCCCCCGCCTGGGCCTCAACACCAACGTAGCTCGTCGCGAGGACAGCCGCCAGGAGTCTCATCTGATTATACGGGTTATCCACAGGGAACACCATACTATGGACCGTCTACAGCACTGCCCGGCTCATACACACCGGCAGCGCCACCCATTTCACCAGCATGGGGATACCCTTCCTCTGCACCAGCGGGGTTTCCTGCGTTTGGCGGAACACCGTGGGGAGCACCAGGACAGAATCTTCCTCCCCAACACCACTCAACGCCTTGGGGTGGCCCGCCATCAGGACTGCCTCCGGCTGCGCCATACTCTGCCGCGTTTCCGGGTATGCCCCCGCTACATGCTGCCCAGGGCCCGTACACGCCATTTCCCGGTATGACCCAACCAGGGCCTCCTCCAGGGTGGGGGCAACCCCAGCAACCTCCGTGGTTCCAGCAACAGTTCCAGCAACCGCATCAGCCACGCGGGGCGCCAGGCGGAGATTGGGGTATTCCCTCGTATTTCGCGCCATCCCAGCACCCTCGAGGACCTCCGGAGCCGCCTGCTCAAATCGCGGATCGGATGGATCCCTTCGCCGAAGGTAGCCACTGTAAGTATCGTTCTATTTATGTCGGTCACGAGACTGAAGGGGCTGTAGATGGCCCGGTGCTCGAACCGTTCCTGGTGAAAGTCGTAGGCGCCCAAGTGAAGATCAATCCTCTCCTTCAACCACTTCCCGAGGACGGCTCGGATCAGGTGCACCTGAAATGGAATATGATTTTCCCAACGTCGACGGTGCAGCGCTCATTGGACCCCTCGCACATCTCGTGGTCAAAAGGACGCGACACGCCAGCGACATTCCCGAGGATAACGGCCATGAGGCTCGTCTCGACCGCGATCCCATGGATGACGAACATCAAGGCGCGCAACCCGGAGAAAGGGCTCACATGCGGGGAAGTGATCGACGCGATTGGGTACGACATGTCCAAGTTCACAAGCGCCCAGGACTTCAAGGTCCTCTCCCCGACCGACCAGAAGGAAGTAACCAACGCGTACCGGCACCACCGATCGCGTTCCCCAGGTGTTCCGGGAGGCCAGTTAGGGCAGGGCATGAAGCGTCTCGACTTCCTGCGCCAGAACACGATGTTCGCGGGGATCGAGGTGAACGACCGGATGGTGAAGCGGATCTGCGGCGAGGCACTGCCGTGTGTTTTTGTGCTCAAGTGCTCGCCGACGTTCCCGATGACGAAGCAAGAGATCAAGGACCGCGAGGCGAGAGCGAAGGCAACGAGTGCGGGAAGGCGGTCGAGGGCGAACTCGACGAGCACGCGGATCACGGTTCAGTCGCCCAGTGAGAGTGGAGACTCGGGCGACGCGGATACGGATCGGTGACAGGTATAGGTAGCGAATGGTGCTTCTCCTTTTGCTTTCTTATTTTTTGCTTTTTCTTTTCCCAGCCTCCTCTCATGCTCTTGGCTTTTCCCTTTCTCATTGGAATGGTAATTTGCAACACGGTATCGAACGATCTCCCCTCTTCATTATATTGGCAATGTTGTCTCTGTATTATGCTCGTCATGTTATCTGTAAAGTCATCTCCTCAGAGCAGTGTTGTACGTTATATCATTGCATTTCCCCCTCTTTCTTTTTATGCCATTTCCCCCATCTTTGGCCCCGACATGACGCCTAAGAGACTCGGCATCAGAATTCCCACGTGCGCTTGGTATCGTTTTAACTAAGAATCGACTAAATCTCGAGGATTGCAATGAATAAACGAGGATGGTGACTATAAGCTAGATATATAGACGATCGCAGAAAAATATAAAGGTTCCAAGGTGCCACGAGATGGAGCCGCCCGACCAGGATCCACTCGCTGGACAGGGCTTCTCGGTATACCAGCATACATGAACAAAATCAGGTACTGATAAAATACTTCTAACCTATTAGAGGTATATAGACCATCAGCGCGAAACCGAGAGCAAACTGAAGGCTAACGTGCAAGCAGATAGGCAGTGGTTGAGCCGAATGTCAACGCCCTAAGATGACGCAGACGAGTGTACGCATGCATAAGCCTATGAAAGCGAGCAGAGGGTCGTAAGGCCAAACGCATGAAGCATCATCGAGGGCGGGAGGAGAATGGGAACTTAGCTTCCATCCGAGTTGAAACTGCATCCATAGCTACCTATATAACCTGGATGCTCCCATTACCGCACCGTTCCACGATATTCCAATAGATGGTATTCTACGTATCTCAGACGCCTGTAGAGACAACGAGGCATCTGCGGCAGGGTGTCAGAGTCCCTTACGGGTCATCACCTCAGCTGAAGCACACCAACAGCGCCGTTCATAAGGCCAAGACGGTGACGGTTATGCGTCGAGGATCTGCGGAGAGAAACGAGGGTCATCCACCAAGCACTTTGACTTCCCGCAGAAGACGGCAGATTCAAGACGAACGGACGGATTGCTTCTCGAATAAGTACTTGATCCGTCGAAAGAGCGCTGAGGTTCGGATTTAAGAGCCATGTGAGTATGCAAGGATGTCGTCCGTGAGGTGAAGTTCTGGATTTTCAAGGTGCTTAGGAGGATTGAAAATTTGTTCTAGTTCGCAGAATAGTTGAGGTTCGATAGAGCAGGAATCCCGGGTCAATCAAGCAGGAGTGCGGAAGGAGTCGAATACAGCCAGGTGTCTCCAGAGGTCAGCACGAAGACCTTTCGTGTTGCAACTAGATGATGACAGGAGGTGAAAGACTCGGGGTTGTATCAATGTCGCCTCGTGATTCATGCATGACGCGTCACCGTGATCTGCGCCCGGCCCGGATTAGCTTCCATAAGCGCTGGAAGTTCCCCGGCGCTAATCATAATTCGTGATTTCCTGCATCTGGGCGTTACATGACTTCCGATGATAATAAAAAGCAAAATAATTTCGGTTTCGCTTTGGTTACCCTTCCACCTGTAGGTGTCTGGCTTACCTACAAGTCGAGAACGAGGACATCAATAGATCAATAGACATAAACCACAATTAAATGGCTGGGTTCGAAGAAGACAGGAATATCAATACAATTTGATAGGACTAGATAATCTGGGCCATCGTATCCTATTTTTATGCTCATCATATCCTCCACACTAATAGATGCAAAGGGTGCTTACACTGGATTTATCGACTTGATCGGATTCAGAGAACGTTCTTTCAAACTGCAAATTGCGCATTATTTTCTTCTCGTCGATGTATCGACTCGTCTGGCTGGCTGCGGTGCTACCATCCAATGTAGAGTGATCTTCTGAAGAGCCTTCTGGTGAGGCTTCTAGAGTTGCAGAACAAGTTTCGCAATATCTTCTCGCCTGAAGAACTTAATTTCCCAGGTAAATGCAATATTAGACTGGGGCAGAAGAAAATCTCTCTTGCGACCTACCTGAACTCCCGTTCCATTGGGGTTGACGGGCCTTGGGGGGTTCTGACATCCGATGTCTATGCTGGTGCACGAACATCATAAGATTAAGGATCATGCTCATGAGCACGACGGCGCCCAGTGTGCCAGCAATAATTGCAATGCTGTTGTGGTCGGTCACAGGTTTTTCTTGATAGATCGGCTGGCAGCCATCAGGTCCAGTGGTCGGTTTAATGACAGGGGGTGCAAGGGTAGAATGAAACTGAGTTGCAGGTTGAAGGCAGCGGGAGGTCTGAGAGAGAGGAAATTTCCTTCCCACTTCTATGTAGTCTAGCCAGAAGTATGGCCCCTTGATGTTATTTGTTATGACCAACGAATGATTGCCTTCTTCCAAGATATCAGACTTAAAGAACTGTTGGCGGTACAGGTTTTCAGTGTTATGTTCGTGGTACTGGTATATGACTGGAGGGCCGCCATCGACGGAATACAGGCTTTCGGCATGGGTAGATCCATCTTCACGTTCTGGAACAGGAATTGTCCCGTATACCGCAACCGAAGAACCTAGTCGTTCATCCCGGAATTAACAACCATAGGCAAGCAGCAGTGAAGGCCACTCACCGAAGAAGTTGAACCATGCCCTCGCCCCTTGTATCCGTGTCAATGTTGTTGTACGGTTATACTCACTTGGATTCCCTATGACGTTATTGTTCCAATGTTCATTGCGAGGGTTCTCCAAAACAATGGAAGGATCACTGTCGTCGAATACTTCCAGAAGTATCTTTGACATGGAACCGTCACTGGAAGCTGCGTCCAGAATGTATACCTGGAAGATGATTACCCGACCTGAGGTTTCGGAGTGAGTATGATAAAAGCAAAAAGGGTGGCTTGAGAGGTGAAGTAGAGCGATGATGGTGGGGGATGTGGGCTGGTGGGGCAGCATGTATATAGCCCTAAACTGCGGGATAGTATGCCTCAAGCGCGCTCGATATTCTATCGAGCCCAAGGCGCGGGTCGATATCCTCGACCCGTAAAAAGGTATTCTCGGGGGCACATGCGGGTATTGAGACGATAAAGCCAGAAGAGAATGATATCGGACCTCTAACTCAGATTTATGCTGGAAGCGATGGGAAATCTCTAAGTAGAGATTGGTCCTCAATTGCCGGGGGAAGCACTACATTGATCGATGGTGATGGCCATCCGAGTCATTATTGGGGAAGAGGCCGCGAGGAACTTGAAGCGTTTCCATCGAAGTACGAACAAAGGCCTGTCCTTTGTTGAGCCTCCTGATCAAGACGTTAAAAAACCTTTTTTAGAGGACATGTCGGGAAATAGATATCGTCCAGTGTTCCGTACAAGGACAAGACAGGAGGCAGAAACCCAGCCCTCGACGCTTGTAGCGCGGCTAGGAAGTGTTCAAAGACGGCGTCGATAGAATCGAAAATACCATGTGGCCCGACGCCTTCAAAAGTTCGGATATTGTTGACTTCGGAGGTCGTTCACTCTGAGAAATTAATGAGAAATCGTGTATAAAATGGTAGTCTGATATCATTATCCAAGCCTGAGCGCCCGTGAGCAACTGAGCTCGGTTTCGCAGAAAGATGATTGCCCATAACTCTGCCTTGTACCTCCGTGTCCTACCCAAGGTTCGCTCCAGATAGTTGCAGCCTGGAGGTTGGTTTTGCAGGCTTTTCCCCATTGTTATTGCTAATATATCCTTCGGCGCGTCTTTCTCGGCCACGAAAGCCTGAGCTTCCACCTTAGCGCGTCGTGAAATCAATAACCAGCTTTGGGGCCCCATCGTCGCCCGAAAAATATGGCAAGGCAAGGCGAATCAAAGTTTTGATCAAGTCACGGAAATTTGCGTCGCTTCCTGGACAATCGTCGACAAGATATTGGACAAATTGCACACGCACAACCAACTGTCTCAATCCCGTGAAGCGGAAAGGGGCAGATATGATATCATTGAAGCTCGTCCAGACGTTACAGTCCGAAGGGGCACCCAGGCTTTGAAATAATGGCGCCAATGCAGTGTAGTGATCTTCGTCCTGTAGATCAAGTGGGACATGCAAATTAAGGGTCTCCAAGGTGGTCGGTGCTGTAAGCTGGCCAAGAAGGAGATTGTAATCGTGGAGCACCGTCCCTACATCGTGCTCGGAGCTGTCGAGGGTGAGGTTCTTGAGTCGCTTCATGCGTCCCAGATCAACCGTTGCAGGCGGTGAAACGGGATGATCCATGTCTGAAGGTCGGCTATCAGATCAAGCAGGGGGATAAAAAACAAGAGAGCTTACGGCTCCCATAAAGGATCTTCACGTCCACAAGGGTTTCTTCTGCTCGAGAAAGAAGAGGTGCAATGTAATTGTACTCCTCCTCGAAGAAATACACGGTGATAGTCAATTTGCGCAGCCGGATAAACTGACCCAGGGTCGATGAGTCACTGCCACCACAGAGAAGAGCGAGATGGCTTTCATCTGGTCTGTCTATTTCAAGCGATTCAATTTGAGAGCAAATGGGCAAGCCTTTCAAATTGGAGCGTCGTGAGGTGGATAGGTGCTCCATCGATTCAGCCATATCTCCAGATTCGATATTATCCAGGTGTAAATGGCGTACGGCGCTCCCGAGGAGAAGGGTGTTTGGGACTTGTATGTATTCCAACGACAATGACTTGAGGTGTGGTGACTGAAAAAGATCCCATACTGCTTGCCTTAATCCTATACTGAGATCTTGCCAAATCCCCTGAAAATCGAAACCGAAGGACTCAATTCCTGGGTTTTGTCGGTGGAGTACCTGGAGGATGGAAATGACGACGCCTTCGAGAGCCATATCAGACGTCTGTGACGCGACGCAATCGAGGTTGACGCACTTGACGATGGATCCAATTCGCAGAATGCCACCAGCAGTTCCCGCATCGTTTGGGCCCCAAGTTAGGAGTTCGAAGAACTTGTTTATTCTTCTGGTTGATTCTTTTCGCCAAGTGTACAGATTCACTTCGCGGAAAATGTGCCTGCGAGCTCGAGAGGCAAATGCGCGCGAGACTACATGCGTAGAGGGCGGACCAAGGTCGCACTCCATAGATATCTTGAACGGAGTCGACGATGAGGTCGAAGATTTCGACGGGAAAGCGTTGGCACTGGGCGCAGGTCATGAACGTGGAAGGGAAGAGGACCCAACTCTCCAGCTGTTGAGGTGAAGAGTGCCGGGCGAGAGCGACGGAAGGGTTTTCGCTGACACGTGACGTCGGAGTCACTCTCAGAGATTTCAAGTTGGACGATTTGGAGAGGAATGCCAGTTAGTATTAGTATTCTGGTGGGTACTACTACTTATAAAACCAAACCCTTTATCCTGGATACGATATATTCAAATTGGTAGTCTTATGCTCTTCAAGTTCTCCCGAACCCTGCTCATTTTGGAACATTGATACAAGAGCGAGCCAGTGACTTAGGCAAAACGGAAAAAAATGAAGATGGCCCATATGCAGGCCTCCACCATGCCGTAGAGCCCCTACACACAGCAGGTCCACCTACACGACCAGGCAACCTATTACGCCCTCGTAGGCGTGCTATTAGACGAAGGAAAAATTAGACGGAGGTCAAACGTCGAAGATGTACACTCTGCTCACTCACAGGCCTAGCGGTGCCGGTATCAAAACTTTCCGGTAACGACGCTAAGGTGGAACCTGACGCCAGAACTGGAACTAGAAAGACAAGGAGGTGAGAGTCTTGTCAGTGACTCGACTTGACTGAGGAATTCCTTCCCGTCATGGGGCTTGGGTTCTTTGTCGGGGTGGTGGAACCCCAACTCGATGGAAACTTGGTCAAGAGTCTGAAGTCGCAAGGGAAACAGGTTATTGAGTCTTGACCATGGATCATCCCGGGACTCGCTCTTGAAGAGGTCGAGGAATTGGAGCGCTTGGGGATTGTCGAATGAAGGGGTTCCGCTGAAATATATCTTCAGCTCCAGGGTCCTCAAGGAATTTGGGACGACGATTGCACCGAAGAATGTAGAGAATTGTTCAAGGGCTCCGTGGCAGCTCGGACAAATCTGGTGATGGATATTATAGCACCACAATTCGAGGCGCTTGAGGTTTTGCGTGGTGTGGCAAGCAATGGGGAAAGGCGCAGAAACCACAGTGGCCGGGGAGTCTACGGTGAATTAAATATTTACATTATGGCGGAGGGAAGGCAATTTGAGAGAGAAAGGCTTACGGGGCAGGTAATAGAGCGTGAGGTTTTCAAGGTTCCCCTCCGTCTGCGCAAGTATCGCCGCGACCGTTCGGTGGTTTTTCTCGACTTCAGTCTCTATATAGAGATCCCGTAATATTCGAAGAGAATGTTTGAAGAGTTCTTGGATGGGAGTTGCTGGAGGCTGGGAAAGATTAGCGTCCTCCAGGTCCGAACGGTTTGTCCTCCAGGTCAAGGCATTCTAGGTAGGGAAACGCAGTCCCCGATGAGGCATAGAGTGAGGAATAGTGACAAGGCCCTTCATTTGAGCACGTTGAGCAGTTGCCTAAATTCAGTTTAGTTATACGGGCCCCTTCGAGGAGGGTTTTTGGAAGTTTCTTGACTCCGGTGATGAAGAGCCATGTGGGAAATGGCGAGTGCAAAAGATCGCACATGGCATGTCGAAAGCCAAATCCAAGGTCGGTCCAATCTCTAAAATAAAGCAATCTGAAAAAAGTGACTCCGTGGCCCGACCCATGAAGCGCTTGAACGATTGGTGGAACGATAGCCTCAAACGGATAGCGTCTCTGTTCCTGCTCGCGGGTGGCGCAAAAATGCAATATCGAAAACTCCTTGACCACGAAGGCTACACCTTCGAGGTATATTTCTCGAGGGAACCCTGAGGTCGACACCAGAAGCTCATAGAACTTTTCCGCCTTGCTGAAGGAGCGATCGTCGCCTCCGATAAGGCCCACTTCAGTAAATGTCAGTCACCGCGCATGTCGTGCAAAGGCTCGAGAGACGAGGGCGCATTGGCTAAGAGCTCCTATTTGAGTATTTGAGTCCTCCCATATTGCGTCTATGAAGAGGTCGAAGATTTCAGGAGGCAAGCGGAGAACCATGGATGATGGAAGTTGAGGACGAAAAGCCAGCAAGCTGGCGTCGAAAATCTTCTTGGCCCTGAGATTTTTTTCCCGCGGTGCTTTACCTATCTGAGTTCTCGCACTGAACAAGCAACTTAAAGGTCAATTGATTTAGTAAGCAACGAGATATTTTCAAGTTTAACGGCCAGCACAACTTAGCGCAATCGTACTAACAAGCATCTAAAATTGAACCTGAATAGATAAACTCTTCGACGTCTTGGGTTCCTTAAAGTGAGAAAGGACCGCCCTGAGTGACGCGTCCGCTCGCCGAACGAACCGCGCTTTCTCGTCAAGAAAGACGTGGACCATCGAGGAACTGAACTGCAGCGTCAACACCACCTCCTTCACCCCAGCGAACTCCGAACTCGAAAGCGCCCTATTCAACCTTGACCACCTCTCCATCTCGGACGGCTCTGTGAACGAGTTGAAGAAGGCCTTTGAGACGTTTTCGGGAGAAGCCCTGGACAGGGCCCTTAAGACTACGTCTAAACGCGACAGACTTGGAGGTACCCTCGGAATGGGAAAGAAGTCGGAGTTGGTCGCGTTTGGGAAGAGGAGAGGTAGATTCGGCGTCATGTCGAGATGGATGGCTAGATGATGCAATTTCTTCATCTTGGTGAAATTGAATGAGGTCGATCGGTCGAGCCAGAGAGCTGAATCTACATGGAATTGACATGATATTAGATATCGCGTCTCTCTGCACAAGCAACACTTACCCCCGTAATGCACCTTCAGATATTCTACCGTATTCTCCACACGTGGAAGGATGGAGACCACGCTGTCGAAATCCGCAAAACCTCGGAGGCAGCACTTGAACACCCGCAATGCGGGCAAGGCTGATCCTTCCGCCCCTTCCCTGCCTGTATTTTCATTCCCGAGAAGAGCTGTACTTCTCAAACATGGCTCGAGATCCAGAGTCTCAAGCTGGGGGTAGTTATTGCGAACTGCCGGATACCGGGAGGAGTAATGCAACGGGACCGGGGCGTCATCAACGAGGCACCAGTGAAGCAAAAGATGCTTAATATGGCTCCCGATGAGGAGTATCCTTGGTAGGTCCGTCGTAATTGTAATGTGGAGAGTCGCCAGACGCGATGACCGAAAGAGGTCAGTCAAGGCGTGTCGTAAGCCAAGTCCGAGCTCCTTCCAGGACGTGTTGAATGCGACGTCAAGGAGATTGATTCCCCGGTAGAACGTGTGCCGTCGAGAGCGGTGTGCAAAGGAGCGCGAGACAAGGCCGCATGTGGTTAATGCTGAACGTTGGGATTCTGTAATGGGTCTTTCTCCAAGGGTGTCGATGAAGAGGTCGAGTAGTTCCGGGGGGAAACGAGGTGAGGTGTCCGTCATAAGCCACGTCGCAAGTGAAGCCATTGATGTCTGTTATCTGATAAGCAACAATTGCGGGGGAGATAAGATTTGATTCCCCCCAAATTGAAGGATCACCGCAATTTGCATGCTAAATAGCTAGTTCACGCCTATAAAATGATATTCTGCAGTATTCACTAGTCCGTTAACTCCTCCAATTCCTGAGGCAACAGTTTCGCCAACCTAATCCCTCCCAGAGCGAACAACATCAAGGTGAAATATGAGCCATATCCGCCAAGGATATTCTTTTGTATAGACAACGACAGCAAACTGCTCGCCAGAGCTGGTAGGGTGATGCGACCGACAGAGACAAGGGTCTGTGCAAGCCCATTAATGGCACCCAGGGGGCGCTTATTAGGCGCGGATGCAGTTATGAACATGTATATGCAGCCTAGAGTACAATCGGCTAAGCATCCAGACCACGAAAAAAATCGGAAGAAAGGAAACTGACCATATGCAGACTCCATGAAGAACATACATGCTAACTGGCAGGCAAGCATCGTCCACACAACCCCGTCAACCCCTCGTCCTCTTGCGACTGTGTTCATAAGCGGCGGCAGTGCAAAAATCGGGACCAAAGCCGACACGGCGCATACAAAGATGGTTTTAACACCAAACTGCCTCACAAGCCGGCCCAGAAAAAAAGACTGGAAAACGCTGTTGACGAGACCGTATGCACCCAGGATGTAGCCTATGTATCGAGGCGGTAGGGCCAAACCCCCGATTTTGACGGGCATGGCGAGGAACAGTGGCTGGATGGTGTTGGCGGCTGCGTGCAGCGCGGCGAACCAGGTGTAGTTGAGGCTGGGGACAAGGACCTTCCGGGTAAGGAGCTGTCGAAATGGGACTTGTTCACCTTCAACTGGGGCATCTGCGCGGTGTCCAACCGGCGCGAGAAGAGGCTGCGATGCTTCTGAATCGTCCTGAGCGAGTGGAGAAGACTTAGAGAACCATCCTGAATTTAATGTCTGATGACATGAATAAGTTTAATGTATGGAGAGATTCTGGATTGTAGGCACTTCGCTGAGATAGGATATCGTAATGAGACAGCCGAGTAACGGTAGAGCAGCGATAACGGCACATGGTAAGAGGTACGGGTATGTCGTCCAAAATTTGCCAGAGAAAATGTCGGGAAAATGGTCGTTTGGACGCGCAAGCCATCCACCAATGAAGGCTCTGGAAACGTCAAGCATATAAATGTGCAGCAGTGAAGTAACCATACCCAAAAGAATAACCGAGAGCCCAAGGGACATGGAGCAACGCGAAGGCGCTGGCACTGTTCGTGTGGTCCGTTATTTCACCAATCATACTCTTGATGACACCTGTAGGATTCTAAGTCGGCACCAAAAAAAACTAAACAGGATGCTCACCAGCATTGCTGTTGAAGGCTGTAAAGATACAACGACTACAAACCGAAGGGAATTCAGCCCCCATCTCAGAAGCGAGCAAATGCCCCAACCGCACCTGAGCACGAGCAGCCAAAAAACCTTTGAGAACCCGAACGAGACCATGGAAATAGCTATGGAGAACGTTCCGAGGAGAAGGACAGGCTTTCTGCCAATGTGGTCCGAGAGCCGACTCCAGAACATGACTGTGGCCAGTGAGACAAGGTTACGGGCGAATTCCTGTAATCCAGCGTTTGAGGTTCAGAGTCCTGCTGCAAGCATGGATTGTGTATGCTCACCATGACCCCAGCATAATACCCGATTTTCTCCTCGTCTCCCGTCAGCGATGCGAGGAGCTGGGACAAGCCAAAGATAAGTGCAAACAACGAAAAAGTTAAACCCTACATACCTCTTCAAGGAAGGGGTAGATCACGAACGTGAAAGCGGATTCGCAGAACCTCAAAAAGAGGAGAATCGAGAGCTGGGCCACGGGCAAGGGTGTTCGTTTCGTCGCTGTACCTGACACCCTTTCCGAGCTTGGCTGCTGGTGCCTCGTCATCGCGACTTTCACGAACAAAAGCGTGAAACTTGATGGACGGCGTTATCAGCGTGTCGTGAGATGTCCTGAGAGCGGAAGTTATACTACATCGAGGCTTGAAAAGGCTTCCGACAGTGGGCAAGCACGGTCGAGGTGAAGAGAGGGAGGACCGGGCCGATTGTGGGACTTAATCTGATAAGATAAGATGACAATTCTAATCATCGCTCCAATCCTTTGAGTCTTACATCGAACGTCCAACCACCACAATCGTCGCTGACTACATCACAGGAGGTACGTAGCACTCAGTTACACCATTTAGAGGAAAATAATGGCTGTTTTGCACTCCAGGAGCGCGGATCCAGCGCATCTCAAGCGATCTCTGATCTGATTGCACTTCCCCTACGATGGCCCCGAAGGGCGGAAACGCAAAGAAAGAGAGCGGAAGAGCAAAGAAGGCTGAGAATGAGTCGAAGAAGCAGGAGGCTGCTGCTGCCGAACGTGTGCGTCCTCACCTCCCCACACCTCCATGATCATCCTCATCTCACCTTCACCTTCGTCTCACTCCAGGAGCGGAAAGAAGCCGAGAAATGGGCTGACAACGACGTAAAAGGAAGCAAGGCTAAACGCGAGGCGCAAGAAGAAAAGCGCAAGGCCGATCTTGCACGCAAAGCTGAGAACGCACGGCTGCTTGCCGAGGAGGAGGCCGCTGCTGCCGCAAGCAAGCCCAAAGCTCCCGGGCCTAAGAAGAGCGGCAAAGCTGCTGCGAAGGACGTCAAGCCCGCAGGCCCTGGTGCCATCGCTGCTGGCGGTGGACTTGGTGCCGCTGGCGATGTGGTAGCGGGAGGTGGGAAAGACGAGCCGCAGGAGGTTGAGAGCTATGCTGCGACGGGCATTGATAATGCCTTGGATTTGTTGGAACTGGTGACGGCGAAGATGGACAAGGCGAGCGTTGGGCAGCAGGCAGCGAAAATCGAGCAGCATCCCGAGGTACGTCAAGGGGTATCGTCAATTACTACCAACACTCTCTGACCAATCTCCCTTCCAGCGACGATTCAAGGTATGCCTTTCCCAAACGTCCGACATGCATGGTGTGTTGTATATATTGATTCCTTACAGGCCGCTCTCGAAGCGTATCAAGAACGCGAATTACCAAACGTCAAGATCGACCACCCGGGCCTGCGACTACAACAGTATAAGGTGCGCCTAATCACCGCAGGAGCACATACCGTCGTCCCGAAACACTGATCGCACATATTGTCTCTAGGATCTTCTGTACAAACAGTTCCAAAAATCGCCCGAGAATCCGTAAGTGCCACCCACCTCGTGGTGTCTCGAGAAAGATAGATGGCGCCGATCCCTGACAACTGATGCCGTTTGAACTTTGTGCTCTATACAGATTCAACCAGGTGACGGTCTCGTATGACGCGTCGAAGGAGGCGAAAGTCGAAGCGCTTAAAGGGAAGAAGGCTGAGGTCGAGCAGCGTCTCCGCGAGAAGTAGGACAATGGTGTCCTCGCGATGCAATCTGCTATTATCTTTGACGGGTCCTTCGATCAAATAATACTGTACACACTACAGTCATCCACCGGCCAATGAGACACCACCGGCTAATGATACACCTCGGAACACCATGAAGGATTCAACTGTTTGCTTTGAAAAAATAACCCCATTCTCTATAAGTCTTTAATACATTGTGTATAAAATTTTGTGGGTTCTGGTGAAGTCAATGCCCGGTAATAAAATCACCAAAATATTCATTTTGGTTGATTTTGTCACACCAGTCAATGGTACAGCATCTCTGGCTGTTTCTGCTCACGTTTGGTTGATTTTATGGCATACAACTGGTATAAATTTATTTTAATGGCTCTATTACACTGATTCCAAGTGGTTTTATGAGAATCCATGGGCTGGTTGAGTTCTGGGATCAAATTTAAATTTCAGTGTATCAAATGATGGTGGATGACTGTAAGTACTCTACTCACCTATGCATACGACACATTGGTCTCCCTGTCTTATCCCTGTCCAAGATAGATGCTCGACATTTGATTCTGATCAAGATAACTGCAGGGCAGCTTGGCCCCGAGTGTATACGCATTCGATCGGCCATTGTTCTTTGTGGGTCAAAACGCTCCAAGTTGTCCGAGGGAGGCCATGCACCGCTGCCAGCTAAGCTCAGAGTTCGGTCATCATGACAGGGAGTGGACATCTTGAGGGATCATCGGTTCGGGAATAGATTTGCGGGGGTGCAGAGGGTTGACTCGGGGAAAATCAGCCATCTAACGACGGCAACAATGAGATTATATCTTTTACAATAGATAAATACAATGATGACAGAATGCAAGAAAGCGGAGAAAAAGTGGGCAGTAGCGCATTATTGGAAAGTATATTGGGATCGTTAGATTCATAGGAGTGTCCATCGAGCACGAGGCACGCTGTGCCATAAAAGCCTATGTTACATGAAGGTATAGGTTGCCTATGAGGAGATGCATCAGCAACGTGTTTTCGAGACGTAGAATGATGAGAATGTAAGGTTTCATCGATTAGATCAGAAATAAAAGGCAATATAGTGTTGTCTCCACAAAGGATCAGAACAGGTCTGAATACGTTTCACCTCGAAAAAAAAGGGAAGTGAACGCAAAGGGAAGGCTAACTCACATATCGTCAAGAGCGTGGGTACAGTAGGTGAATGTATATATGCGAGGAACTGAGGAAGAGAGTATTAGTATGCGTTGCGAGGGTGCAATAACGAAACAGTGGGAAAGGGGAGTGTCAGCTATAAAAAGGCAATATCGATTTGTCCTCAAAGCACAAGCTCGGAACAGGTCTGATAGGTTATCATCACGCACAACCCGAAGATATCTAAGGTCGAATGGGGAAAGCACAAACGTATCTGACACTCACAACAAAGCAGACCCAAAAAGCCAAGCCAAGCATTAACTCAGATGGACGCGACGGGGGGCATGGCGGTAGCGAATCGCCTCCACTTCTGCCTTGCGGGTGCGGACTCGCCGTACACCCAGTCCTCGTCCGGAACGTCCATTTGAGCGTGTGCGTCGCAGTCCTCGACGTACACTCCGACCCCAGCACCATCTTCGGGGTCAAGCAGCTGCTCAAAGGCAGGCTGGTCCTCAAAGGTCTTGAGTTTGCGCAGCGCCATGATGAGATCCTCGGCGAGGGGCGTGGCATTCGGGGGATCCTCCTGAATTTGCTCCCACCCCACGGGGGGCGACCCGGGTGGGGAGATGAGGAAGTTCTTCTCGATTGCTGGGGGTTGCAAGTAGTTCATGTGCGGGACCCACGCACGGTCAGCTGAACGCGAGATGAGCGGGTTGGGGTCTGCGCGGTACACCCGCAGCACGATCTCGGAGCTGCGATGAAAAAAGAGCACCATGAGCACAAAAGGTCGGATGGAGCACAAAGAAGACCGCGCACGCACTCGATGTGAGGGCTGTCAACAACGATGGGGTCGCAGCGCACTTTCGCCTCCTCTGCGTGGTTGGCGCACTCGTAGACGATGATGACGCGGCCAAAGCCCTGCAGTGGCACCCACTGGTTGATCTCGCCGAACGCGGCGAAGTGGTCGCGGAGCATGTTGAGAATAAGGGGGTCGAAGAACGCTTTTGGGAGCGAGGTCACGGCGAGCGTGTTGGTAGGCTTCGACGCCGGGGGCGATGGCGGCGACGACGAGCCTGAGCTGGATGGGAGCGATCTGGCCATGGTGGGGAGATTGGCAATTGGGGGATTATTTGGAGCGGGGTGGTGGTTGGAGAGAGACCCCTTCGTCGGTTTTATAAGGAAATTTTTCGGCATATGACGATAGTTACGTAATCATCTCTCGGCTGTGTTTCTTCTCGTTTGGGTCTCTGGGCTGTTCTCTCCTGGCACAGGTCGCAGATTTCTCGAAATTCTATCAAGCTCCCCTTCGTTGGATGATGAAAATTTGCAATGGATACGACACAATTGGCCGCAGTAGCCACAGGCTTTGGCCATTTTCATGCGGACAGCTGTTCGGTGTGGCACTTGCCGGATGACATACTCACCCAAAACAGGCCCGAGTATGATGGGAAGCCCAGCCAGACCGCAGCCATAAAGTTCCAATGGAAAGGTCCCTAGGAGTGCCTCGCTCCATGAGTACGCCATTCAACATCAAGAACCTACCATGTATCCAGACCTTTGCGACAGGACAGTGGTGACAGATAGCATCTTCTGGGCGGCCACTTTCTGAATTGTGCTCAATGTGCTGCAACGAAACGCCATATCTCAGTAAGGAAGACTTACGTCGCCACAGGCGGTCTTCTCCTCTCTAGGACTTCTCCCGACATCACGCCACCCCGAACAAAGACAGAGTTTTAACCTCGAGATCGCTGACACTTTGGCCTAGCACAGAAAGTTCAAATTAAAACGGCATCCGCGAAGGCCTTTGACAAAGAGGGTCAGAAGATCAATTACTTGAACCCGATTCTTATTGTTTTTGTCTTCGATAAAGAGGCCACGCAAGTCTGAGTCAGTATGACTCCGGATGCCAAAAACCTCCAGGAATAGAGCTCCGAGAGGGCCGTAGCGGACCGATTGTCGATCGTGGCGTTGTTCGACCAAGGAGGACGTGGAGCAACTTCAGAAAGTTCCCGAAGAGATCATTCTATCCAACATTCCGGACGTACACCTGCCAGTGAACCCGATTCTTTCACAGACATCCTTGCCAGCGGACGAAGCTATGTTTCCCGCGTCACCTACGGCTGCGGGATTCCAGTCCCATAATTCCTTAGTAGGATATGGTGCCTAGGCGTCACGGAAGTTCTGTCAGCGAGGTACATTTGCTATCGGACGTCCCAGGAACACACTCTCCAGCCACTGTGAATCGGGTCCGATGACCCTGCCCTCTTGGACCCTCGTTCCATCCCGAATTTAACCAGAGTTTGGACTATTGAAGAACTGATAGTAGTCTCTGCAAGGAAGTATTAAACTGTCCCAGGGAAAGAGGGAATTGAACCTCGAACCAGGAAAGGGACGCCTCTTGAAAGTTCTGTCAACTGAATAAGCTTCTTTCCAGCGAGGTTCCTGGCTCGCGAGCACCTTCTCCGTGCCTTTCGTCGGAATGTTCTGGGTCTCCTGTGAACCCCGGTGAACTTCGCTTAGGTGAGGAGTCTCTCGCCTCTCGTGATCCGGTTGCGATCGATCATAGCTAACCATTCCAACCCAAATAGGAAAGTGTGCCACAACTGTGTGGCGCACAGGGGCTTGCAGGGGGAGACTACGCCACACTGCATCAACGCACTGCGCTGTTTGAAAAATCCAGACCATGTTTTCTGCATTCCCGCTACGAGTTTCGTCTATTCTACAAGCATACATTAAATTCCTACCAAGGGATCCTGCTGCCATCGACGTTAACAAACTCGCCGCCTTCCTTCTCTCGAGTCGCGTTGTCGACGATGTTGATGAGCATCACCGAAGCGTCCTCGACAGAGACAAATAATTGATCTTGGAGCACGCCCAACTGGCCTGATGTGTCCAGTTCGCGGGCCTGGTAAGCTGGGAACATTCCTTCGTCAGCATTTTCAGTCTTTGTAGCGAAGGTATATGCTACTTACCCATGTCTGTCTTCACGATGCCAGGCGCGAGAGGGAATGCAACTGCAAAAATTAGATGTTAGGTCAAAACCTTTTTCGTGCAGGAGCGAAGCGCGAACTTACCAAGCCACTCATTCTCGAAATGGATCCTGCGCGTTATGTAGTTCAACGTGGCCTTCGACGCGCCATACGCTGTGATCTCGAACGGGGCGCTGATATACGCCGTCAGGCTCCCGCCACCCGAGGTGATAGGTATGAACTTGGGCGACGACTTGCTCGCCTTCAAGAGAGGGAGGACCGCCTGGAAGAGGACGACCACGCCCGTCGCGTTCACCTCGAGGTGGTTTCGGAACACGTCGATGGGGGTCACCCCGACGGCGCCATAGTAGTCATTTACGCCTAACAATCAGGGTCCCAGGCTCATCAGCTCTCGGGCACCACGGAACAGAATGACAGAAAGGGATGGCTTACCGGCGTTAGCGATAACGACGTCGACGTATCCGTGCTTGTCTGTAATGACCTTTGCGAGGTCCTTGTGCGTCTGTTCGTCGGCGGAGATGAGCTTTACGATCTCGATCTTGCCGGGAAACTTGGTCGAGAGCTCCTGCAACGCCGTGGCTTTGGAGGGGTCGCGGACGCCGGCGTAGACGAAGACGTCCTTGTGCCTCTTGAGGAGCTCGTTTACGAGCCCGAGGCCTGGAAAAGTGGGCGGTGGTTAGATTTATGTGCGTATAGGAAAAATCAAGTATGGAACCCACCAATACCACGGTTGGCGCCGGTGATGAGATAGACTTTGGTGGGAGACATGGGTAGGGATAGCTTATTGATGAAGGCTTGAGAGGAGTCGAAGATTACTGCTTTGAAGGGGGCTGAGAACTTGTCGAAACGGAGATTGGTCTTCCTATATTTATATCCTGTACTATGTAGTAGCACAGTCAGACTTAGACGGGTTATTGGTCGTAAAGCTCTTGTCAGCACATATCATGTAAGAGCGGAGAGATCCATCATCCAAAATCGACATCGTACACGCTGAGACCTATTTCCATCTGATCTCAGCCTCAAAAAGTCACGAAGACACCCAATCATGTGGGATTTAGGGGACTTTTCGGCCAGGGTTGGCATTCTTTGCGACTTAGACAGTGTTCTTAGCTAGACCTGTCCGTCAGAAACTCTTGGACCCCCCATACGGTCCGACATCATGAAAGCTGCCAATGGCCATGCGCGACCAAGACATCCCCAAAGGGATATTAAAACTAGCGATCTTATCTAGCTGGCTGATTCATTTGCGCTGTGGATTACAAAGTCTTCAGCACGGTGCTGTTAAACGCTGGGCGAGGCATTTCATGCTGAGAAATAGGTGAGTAAGGTTATTTAATCCAGAATCTGCGCAGTAGCAGACTGAAACGAGATTGAAAGTCTAGGCTACAACGATCTCTGACATTAAAAATCACCAGGGTATCCTACCTCCATCAACATTCACGAATTCCCCTCCTTCCTTCTCGCGTGTCGCATTGTCGATGATGTTGACGAGCATTGCCGAGGCGTCCTCGACGGAGACGGATGCTTGGTCTAGAAGCTTGGCTATCTCTCCGGTCGTGTCCAATTCGCTGGCATGGTACGCTGAAGACGTTGAATCCTCAGAATTCCGTAGCCTATCAATAGCAGGCAAATGGCTTACCCATGTCCGTCCTCACGACTCCGGGAGATAGAGGGAACGCAACTACCTCAGAAAGCTCTGTCAAATACCACTTCTCAAAATAAATAACGTACACTCACCAAGCCAGTCGTTTTCAAAGTGGATCCTCCGCGTGATGAAGTTAAGAGCAGCTTTCGAAGCACCATACGCTACTATCTCGTATTGCTGATCGATGTACGCAGTCAAGCTCCCGCCACCAGAGGTAATTGGAACAAATTTAGGTGTCGACTTGCTCGCTTTGAGGAGAGGAAGGACGGCTTGGAAAAGGACGACGGCGCCCGTAGCATTGACCTCGATATGCTTGCGAAACGCGTCGATAGGTATAACGCCAACGGCTCCATTGGGCTGGCTGACCGCTGACAGGTGAGCGTTTCAGTCCTCCGGAGTTGTTGCAGATAAAGAGCGCAATACTCTACGTACCAGCGTTAGCGATGACGACATCGACGTATCCGTGCTTTTCTTGGATTGTCTTTGCGACGTCTTTATTGGTTTGCTCGTCGGCTGAGACGAGCTTTACGATTTCGACCTTGCCCGGGAATTTGGTGGAAGTTTCCTGCAGCGCAGTGGCTTTGGTGGGGTCACGGACCCCGGCGTAGACGAAAACGTCTTTATGCCTAGTGACGAGTTCGTTCACCAGACCAAGTCCTATTATTACACAAAAATGGTAGCAAACAATCCATTGGGTAGGATGCAAACTTACCGATGCCACGGTTAGCGCCCGTGATGAGGTATACTTTGGTGGGAGACATTGATGGGATGATACGACGAAGCGTGAAACTGAGAACTTAAGGATGAATGCTTTGAAGGAGGGAAAGTGGTACTATCGAAGCCAAGGTGAGTGGTGACCCATACTTAGAGTATATCTGCGGTGCCTCGACTGATCCACAATATGGCCACCTTCCTTCTCCTATCATCATCGGCTTGCATACACGTATTCCAGCTGCCGAGAAATACATCGTCCTCCCCGAGATTTGGACGCCTCGAGGCTCGGTTCCTACCCAAACGCGTCCCTCTAAGCTCCCGTTCTACTGGTACCGTGGGTTTCCTATACAGTACCGCGACATGGTGGCTATTACTCGGCTCTGAAGATAGTCCAGGATCGCACAACATGCCTTGGGCGGCGTGGTACGCGTATGCCACGGTTCATAGCTAGATGGGTTTTCCAAAGTGACGACCTCATGAGCAATTGGCTTACTCATTCGGATCTGATGACAAAGCCGCGAGATTCGCGAAGAGATGAAATCGGCCCGGGATCACGGTGGGCTGCCAAAAACGGAAGCAACGGAGTAAGTATTGCAACCGAGCCACGGGCGCTAATCGGAAAGCTGGGCGATTAAGGCGAAGAAAGAAGGCATACCCTATCAGCAACCTAACAAAAAATCATGACTCGTCTTCCCTGCCCAGATTCCCTCCCTTTGAAAGTCAAAACCAATCTTCTAAATTTCCACTAGTACGATCCATATCTTTGCAAAGAACTGTAAATGTGCACATTATTTAAAAATTACCAGGGGATCCTGCCTCCATCAACATTTACAAGTTCACCCCCTTCCTTCTCACGAGTCGCAATGTCGATGATGTTAACGAGCATTACCGAGGCGTCCTCGACGGAGATGAAGACCTGATCTTGAAGTTTTGCCATCTCGCCCTTCTTATCCATTTCGCGGGCCTGATACGCTGGAGAAACCAGGGCGTCAGAACTTACATAATGTCATACTGATAGAAATAAATGAATTACTCATGTCTGTCTTGACGACTCCGGGAGACAGAGGAAAAGCAACTGCCCCAGAAGAGCCTCTGTCAGATCCCGCTTTCTTCAGGAATGGAGAACCCACTCACCAAGCCACTCGTTCTCAAAGTGGATTCTCCGGGTGATGTAATTGAGTGTAGCCTTCGACGCGCCATATGCGACAATCTCGTACGATTGATCGATGTACGCAGTCAAGCTTCCCCCGCCCGACGTGATGGAACGCGATGGGAATAAACTTGGGCGTCGACTTGCTCGTTTTGAGGAGAGGGAGGACGGCTTGGAAGAGAACGATGACCCCTGTGGCGTTGACTTCAAGGTGTCTGCGGAATATGTCGACTGGAATCTCGCCGACGGGACCGCTATAATCGTTGATAGCTGGTCATAGAGACCCACTACATTAGGTCTTTTAATAAAGAAACAAAAGATATAATGCTTACCGGTGTTTGCAATGACGACGTCGACGTATCCGTGCTTGTCTTGTATTAAATTTGCGACGTCCTTGTGCCTCTGCACGTCTGCTGAGACGAGCCTCAGGATTTCGACTTTGCCTGGAAACTTGGCGGAAAGTTCCTGGAGCGCGGTGGCCTTGGCGGGGTCCCGCACGCCAGCTTATACAACGGCATCCTTCTGCCTTGTGACGAGTTCATTCACAAGTCCCAATCCTATAGAATAATAAGAGGTGATGAGATTGAGCTCTTTGACCACTAAGAACTCGAACTTACCGATACCGCGGATTGCGCTCGTGAGGTATACCTTGATGGGAGACATTACTGAGATTAAGTTCATGGTATGTAGCAGAAAATAAAAAAAATATGAATGCTTTGAGGAGGCAAAACAACTAACGCAGCTAAAGTCAAACGCTCCAGACATTTATACCTTCAACTGACCCTCAATGTTGCCGTCTTTGATCACCTTTCGTCAGCTATATACGTACGTGAGAATGCTTCGACTGCTGAGCAATCGGTCGTACCACCCGAATTTCTGACACATCAACGTGTATTTCGACTCGGATCTCTAAGCTTGTGTTTTACTATTACCATGGATTGCATGTCGACTGCCGCCACACTGGGACACATCAGTTCCCAAAATAGTCTAGGCTTACCAAGGAGAGCCTGACTAATGTGGTGTGCATATCTCACGGCTTCCCTAACGGGTTTTCGACATTGACGACCTCAAGAGCTAGCTGGCTTATTCATTGACAGCTGAGGGTGACAAAGCCACACGAAGTCTACAGTGCAGGTATTTTAGAGGTGAGATAGAGCAATTATCATTCAGGAATGCACTACAGGTTGATAAACTGTCGAAAGTAGGAATCAATCCAGTAGCACTGAGAGCATTTACATATTGCCACCGAGTCACGGGCGCTAATTTGGAAACTCGGCACTTTCGCCGAGAATAAGAAATAAACCGGGAACATCGTAGTTGTCCAAGTTTAATCCAAAAATCAAATGAGGGAGTGCAAGGGCGAAATGATGGGTCGTACGTCGTAAATGGCGATGAAGAGTTCTCAAAACTTGCTGGTAGTGTATAATTTCTGCATGAAATTACTGCAGTAGTTGGCTGATCTATAGATCCGATGGTCAGACGATTACGGTGGCCTTTGGGGGGGCAATGAACAAATTCACTCTTCGCAATGTTTTCATGACGTTTCTTGCCGCATTTGATTGCCCATCAATATACTAATTGAAAAAGTTATGTAGAGTACTCCAGGACCCAGTAAACTTATGTACAACTTATATAAACACCACATAGACACCCTAGCTAAGGGAGGCCGGGCCGCAGCCTGCCGGGGCTCATATTCTGAATGTCACGTGACTTGTGGGAGGACTGCGGCGGCACTGTCGACGCCGACCCGGGCAGTCCAGCGTTGCTGTTCGATCTCGACAATGAGGTCCCTAATTCCGATATCCACGCTGCTTGCTGTATCGCTTACTGCATATGCAGCACCTCCCGCTCACAACATACTGGACTCTGCGCAAGCTGTGTTCAGTCAGAGCCTCTCGTTCCAGGACATCGCTTCAGAATGGCTCGACGACGCTAAGAAGGCGATTCTGAAGGGAAAGAAGAACATGGAGAAGTGGTATCATGAGGGGAAGGAGTACATCATGCAGGATAACTTGCTTTGTGCGTCATTTCTACCAGCGTTATCGAGATCATGGCTAAGGGCGGGTTATCGATAGATGAATTCGTCACCCATCCCAGTTTCCACAACTATAACCTCAGGGTGACAGAACCCAAGCTCTGCGACCCCTCTGTCAAGCAATATTCGGGATACCTGGATGTTGCGGAGGACAAGCACCTCTTCTTCTGGTCAGTTTGAACAGCACGAACAACACCGCCGCCTGGGTGCTCACAGCGTGTCCAGGTTCTTCGAATCACGCACTGCCCCTGCAGATGCACCTCTCATCCTGTGGCTGAACGGAGGGCCCGGATGCAGCTCTACCACTGGACTGCTTTTCGAGCTTGGACCGTGCAACATCGCCGACAACGGTCGTAACGTCACTCACAACCCGTACAGCTGGAATTCGGAGGCCAACATCATCTTCCTTGACCAGCCCGTCAACGTCGGCTACTCCTATTCAGAGGACGGCACCGCCGTATCCAGTTCGCCTGTGGCGGGCAAAGATGTCTACGCGTTCCTCGAGCTGTTCTTGAACAAGTACCCGAAGTATTCGAAAGCACCCTTCCACATTGCTGCAGAGAGCTACGGCGGAACATATGCGCCCAACTTTGCAAGCATCATCTACAAGCAAAACCAAGAGCTGCTGGCTGCTCCGAACCCCCACTTGAAGCACATTAACCTTGCGTCTGTGATTCTCGCGAACGGACTCACCGATCCGTACATCCAGATGGCGTCAGTGCCGGACTACGCCTGCGAAGGACCCTATCCCGTGTACGATGACCCACAGGGCCCGCAGTGCCAGGCATTGAGGACGAAGGTGCCCACTTGCCAACGATTGGTCAAGTCATGCTACAACTTCAACTCGCGTTTCACCTGCATGCCTGCCAACGTATACTGCAACACGCAGCTTTTCGGGCCTCTTATGCGTTAGTGATTCATCGATGTAAAGACTTTAACGAGCACTGACCAATTCTAAATAATAGAAACCGGCCTCAACCCTTATGACGTCCGTCGCAAGTGCGATCGTTCAGAGGACAAGGACGGCCAGCTGTGCTACAAGCAAATGGGGTGGATAGAGACCTGGATGAATGAGCCATCGAACAAGGCTGCGCTCGGTGTCAACCCAGAGAGGACGTTCGAGTCGTGCAATATGCAAGTCAACCAGGCGTTTACCATGAACGGCGACGGGATGCATAACAGCGCTGCCCTCCTTCCCGAGCTCGTGGATAATGGCGTCCGCCTTCTCGTCTATGCTGGCAATGCCGGTGAGTACCCGTATATCCTTCGATATTCTTGTTTCTTTTTTCGCGTTCTTTCTCGTACGGAAGTGCTTCGATCCGAACGAGCTGCTTTGGTCTTGTCCTTTTTCCTGTTTCGTTGTCAGTGTTCTTCAACGATAGTCACTGTTGTTCTGTTGGCGCTGCCAAAACACGTTGCACGGTCGCGTCGCGTCGCGTCAGACTAATTAAGTTGCGAGGCGCAGCACCCGGTACGCGTCAGACCGCGTTGCATGATGCGCCGCGTCCTATGCATTTTCCCGCGCATTCTTGATCCCTACCCCACCCTCGCACGCCGCTTTTCTGGAGTTCCAGAGAAGGTCGTCGGAGCTTCCGTCGCTGTTACACGTTCCTCGTTGCACGATGGGTGTTGGTACATTCCGCGCCACGTTTTACGGCGACAAAGAGTTTCCACAGCTTCTTCCTACGGGCAATTGTCTCTGCTGGCCGTGTTGTTCTTTATATTGTTTCGACAAAAGGGATTATTCTCCTCGATCGAACCTGATTGCTAACGACCTGTTATCTCCGTCCCTGTCACTGTAGATATGATGTGCAACTATATGGTAAGTTCCTTCCTATTTTCGATTGTGGGCTCCTATCTGTCGACGGGATGTTGATCCGGTCTTCTCGAGTAGGGTAATGAACGCTGGGTCGAGGCCCTCCCGACTAAATTCTCTGAAGAGTTCGTCAAGACGAAGCCCATCCCTTGGGTTACTACAGAGACTGGCCGCACTGCAGGCTCGGCGAGGAGCGCGGGCTCAGCAGGATTCGGCGCTGGGAACGTCACCTTCGTGAACGTCTTCGAGGCAGGGTACGCTTTCCTCTCTTTCATACCGTTGTGCGGAATTCGAGAACGTCGACTGACGACGTCCTTCGATCTCTCAGGCATATGGTGCCATACGATCAACCCGAAGCAGCATTGGTGCGTGTCTCATCTTGTTCTTCCTGTCTTCCTCGTCGGCCTCCGTTCCGCTCTGGACTCCGTTCCTACCTCGCCGCCACCCCAGAATGGCTTGGCGGAAGGCGGCGTCGTGGAACGTGCCTAACAGGCGACGTCGGGGGGTCTCGATTTGGGTGCGCCCAGGTACTCGAATGGACGCTCACTCCGCTTTCTTTTCCCAGGACCTTATCACGCGCTGGGTTATGGACACTCCTCTCACCTTGTCGCCCAAAGACGTCCGCGACGCTTCGATTCCTCTGTAGGTTTGGATTACGGAGTTGGACAGTGCTTTGGATAGCTAAGTTGTCCTGTTCCCTTGTCTGATGATGTTTCCCGATTGTATCAATTTCTGTAGACTAGTCAATCTTGAGGTATACAAGCTCGAATCCAATTACGAAAGCGTTACGAAAAGCGTATTCCTTGCAAGCGACACGTTGAATTCACGTCTGAAACGAAACCTCAACTGACATCGTCCCTTGTTCATTGGTGTTGTCGACGTGTGGCTGTCTCTTTAAACAATGTTTCACGCAGCAGACGTTCTCTACCTTTCCCAACGTAGCGCCTTCTTGCGAAGACGCTCCTTGTTCTCGCCAGACATTCTTCAAGCGGGTTCTCGCGTTCCTTCTCAAGTCCTCGACGTAATCCAACGGTATGTAGATATCCAGTTCTCTTGACGAAGAGAGCAATACATTGACCATAAAAGTATAATGATAAGAACTAAGGACAAGAAACAGTGGCATACAGGGTACAATAAAGACTACAACTCCCTGACAAGGAGGATCTCCATATGATTATACAGCAAAAGAAGGCGACGCGAATAATTTACCAAATAAAATATTAAGGTGAGCAAGCCTTTTGTTATACATATTTCGAAGGGAAAGCGACCGAGTGAACAAATACAATAGCATATTTACATCCGAAGAGCGAAGATTAGGACGAAGAGCAAGGACGCCAACTGGAAATGGAAGAGAAGACCAACCGGATAAGTAAAGCTAGTCGGCGAACAATAGTGAGGTGGGTAGGAGCGGAAGGTAAGGAAACAATTCTAGGAACGCCGCAGTCGTGTGCTTACCGCAACAAGGCGTCCCAAAATAAGCATAACTGGGGAGGGGATAAACGAAAACGAAGACACATAAAGAGGAAACGAGAAAGGCCAGGAGATGGACGGAGGAAATGATCAGAAACGGGGATTGAAAAAGTCGTCAGTGTCCATATTGAATAAGGTTTCGGTGTTTGACTCCGGTGCGCCACTGCCCAGGACGTCCATCTGGGCCGACGCCTTTCTGGCAAGATCCACGCCGAAGACACCCATACTAGGCATCTGCGCTCGCGGCGCCACGATATCGTTGAAGCCGGGTTGAGCGATAGCTGCGGTTCCACCGACGACTGGGCCTGATGCGGCGGCCATCCCGTGCATGAGCTGCGGGTCAAGCACCCCGCCGGACGTGTCCCCCTCCTGCGGCGCGCTCAGCATGGAGTCTTCGGATGGGTAGGTGGCGGGCATCCAGACGTCGCCATTTTGCTGGTAGTGCGCGCCTGGCGGCACAGCGAAGAGCTGGGAAGAAGGAAGCGGGTTCCCGCCACTGGTGTATTCCGTCACGACAATGTTGCCGTTCCCATCGAAGTGGGACGGTGGAGGGAGGTGATTGGGGGTGGAAGAGAGGTAGTACGTGGGTTGCGGCGCTGCAGGGACGAGACGCTCGCCGTTCCAATTCAGAAGCGAAGAGCTAGCGGGATGCATGGTCTGCTCCGGCGGCGCCTGTGGTGTCGGAGTGGATGAGAAATTTGGTGAGGCGTAACCCGAAGAAATGAATGCCGGTGCGCTATGGAATCCGGTCGGAATGGGGGTGTACTAGACAAGAAATCGGGTCAGTGCTGGGAGCGATTTCATGAAACAGGAGACTCACATCTCTCGAAGGAGGTCCGAACGATACGCAGTCGGGTGGCGCGGACGCTGGCGTAGCGACGCCAATCCAACCATGGCTCACCGTTGAACGAAGCCGCCGAGTCGCCGGATCTGTCACTATGAGCTGTGGGACGGACGATGACCGGCGAGGCGCCAGTCTGGGTGGTGGCAAGCTAGACCCTGAAGTCGTTCGGCTGATAGGTGAGGGGTCAGGGAGAGGAACTTCGTCGGCTGCGGGGCTCGACTTTGTCGGCGAGGCTCTCGTCTGGCGCTTGCGTCCTGCTGTGCTCTTCTTGGGCCTGTAGCGGTAGTCGGGGTGCCGACGCGCGTGCTCGTTGCGCTCGCTGTTCGCCTGCTCCTTCCAATACAGGCGCTTCTCCGGGGAGAGGTGATGCCATGCCTCCGCCGCCTGCTTCGAGAGCGTCTTCTCGGCTTCAGCGCCTGGCGGTCGTCGAATGCGTTTCCCCTCTCGAGAATGCTTCCGCACGTAATCGCAACGGAACAGAATAAATTCATTCCGCGGTCGGGCGACCCAGTTAGGGTCTCCGTTCCTCCCGGCGGTCTCGACGCGCTTCTCAGCGGCAGAATCGCCGTCGGTGGAGAGCGCGGAGGTGCTGGACGCCGGCGATGTCGATCCAAAGTTTGCAGACGGCGCTTCACGAACTCGCTTGATGATGATGGTTGGCTCAGAGATGTGGAACGTGGGGTTCTGGAATGGCAGGAGCGCGTTCTGCGCTATCTGGACGTCGAGGTAGTCTTCGTTGTTCGGCGGCGACCAGCCAAAGACGCGCGAGTGCACCTCCATAGTGGTGTGAGTAAGTGGAAAAGCTGGGAATATTTTCATTATCGCATTCTGACGAGGGTTCCTTTTTCAAGCAGCTCTGGAATGAGCAGGCTGGACTAGAATGGATGGCTCGGGAATGCCCTTTCGGATCTGAGATACACACCCAGCGACATCTGCTCAAGTGACCTCGATCACGATCTCTCCCCAGGTAGAATGCCAAGCGTTGGGTTCAAGCTGTCTGCATAAGGCGTTCTCTATCGTCCTTCATGCCGGTGTTATGAATGGACTAGATGGTTAGGCGCTGTCTAGAAGCACTTATTGACCCCTTGGTGCGCACCTCTCTTCACGCTACTAAACGCCAGGTGGGGCGGCCTGAGCAAGCAGTTGACGGTTGGCTATCGCTCGTTTGCAAGTTGCATCCGCCCGCCACTCCGATCATATTTCTAAATATGGACAGGCGCGCCATTTTGTACCCCTATCGCGATTCAGAATGTAGAGTTCTGGACACTACGGCAGCCATGAATTCATTAGGTGGATATCAAGTCCGAGTCGGAGCTCCCTGGAATATTTCTTTCTATGCGCTCCGAGGCCAAGATTCTTTCTTCGACTGTGTCCATCGTGGTTTGGCCCGTACCTCTCTCTTGGTGATAGGCACAACCCCAATTGTGCGATGCTTTTGTCGCGGACAATCACTTCGAGGGGAAGAGGCAAGTCATTTCGAGAGCTCAATACAGTCGGCTCCATGACATATGCTTGATAATTGCGTCTTCATTCGCCGGATATCTCGAAAGCTATGCCTAGTTTCTTCCTTCGGACGTAAACCCTGTTGGTCCTCTGAAAGGCCACTATCACAAGTGGACCCCCCATCCTCTGGTTCTTGGAATTGTTCGTCCAGATAAGGCGTATCTACCTGAATTTTTGTTGCTCGTTCAGCATGGTAGAGGGTGCTAGTTTATCACGTCAACGGCGTGTCTCGTCATGTTCTTGTCGAACTAGTAGGCTAGCCCAGGACGTAAATGCGAAAAATGAGATCTCCTCAAAGCTCCGTTATTTTCTACGGCCCATTATCACCTTAAAGCATGTACTTTCAATTGACGTCCAATGGCGCACAGGGCTTACCCCATTTCGCAACTGCAGCGCCACCGTCTGAGTCTCGGCGTCCCTGAGGCCAACGAAAAGACTAATTCGTTGTCTTGGCAGCTGCTTCCTATGTAGAGGCACCGTGGGGATCGAGGAGGAAAAGGTAATCTGTGCCGGACTTCAAGGGACGTGTGCATAGCTTTCGAAAGTAACATATTCTGTCAAACGTCTACTTTGAATGGTATGAGCAGGGTCCTCTTGATTTCTAGGATTCGCTATTGTCTATTGTCTTTTCTTCCCGTTTCCGTCGGTCAATAGAGTGCGAGAAGTGGATCTATATCTAATCGAACGGCTGCTACTAATACACCCTCGTACCGGTCCTGATGGAATGGGGAATTGCCCTTCGCAGTTGCAAGAGCCGATTCTTGTATTCCAATTGTTTTACGACCTCAACGCCATCGCCGTTGAGGCGCACTGATTACCATCGTGTTCCTCTTCGCTTGAAATTGGGACAATAGGAAAGAAGTTGTTTATCCTATCTACGTCCGCATCACCTCATGACGATCCCCATGAGACGAACGAGCAGGGTCTGCATTCCACTCCTTCGTTTCTCCAAAACACCGAAGTTATGACGGGAAACGCTAGAGTTACAGAGTTAACCTCTTCACGGCCAATCACCAGACGCCCGTACTTGGGCAGCCAGCTCCCCATCCGCTGCGTACGAAGCGGGAAAAGAGTAAATTAAGCCATGCATTTGAAATGGGGATAGAGGACTGTAAACAACTCAATTGTCCAAACTTAGCCGATCCGCGCTCTGGGCACGCGTCATTGGTCGCACACTCTGCTATCTAATCGCGCCTATTCAAAGGTAGGCGCTCCCTCTCACATTCCGATCGCGCATAGACACCCAAGCGCGCTCGTCCTCAAGATTGGTATGGACGAAACGCCAGCTCGAACGCCGAAGGGTGACTCGGGCCGGGATCCTCCTCGGTCGCTTGCCATTGGGCATTGTCGTCCTGCATTTCATTTAAGGTCGGATTGTAAGGGGGCGCCCAGGTGTTCATGTTTGAGTGACCGGGCTGGCCGTACTGGGAGAAATTGTCGGCCTGATACTGGTTAGCGGGAACATGCCCAACGTGCGCCTCCGAGTTGTGTGGCCAAGATTGGGTAGATCGTTCGGAGGACTCGGCGTGGATGGCGACTGTTTCATCGAACGAGAGCCCTGCTTCGCCAGTTTGGAAGCCGTTACGCTGAGCAGCATGGGAGTTCTGATAACCCTCGTAGGCGGGCTCGTAGAAGGACTGTGTAGATGCCAAGGAGATATTTCCTGCTGGTGGATGAACAGCGCTAGGATAACTCATATATTGGGTGCTCCCAATGGGCGACGCATTGCCTGTTGGAAAGGGTCCGGAGGCTGAGGAGGAGGTCGGCTTGGAAGCGGTGGCTATCAAGGCCAACATCCGACGCTGTGCTTCCACTGCTTCCTGAAGGGCGCGCGTCCGGGTGGTTGGCGTCGCGCTACGAATCAATATTCCATGAGGGCCGAAAGGCTGAGGCGGCGGCGTATGCATTGCCACTGGCTGAGCACACTGCTTAAAGTCGCCAATTGCTTTTTCTCCAGGACGGGCACTTGGTGGTGGTTTGGCAACGCACCGAAGGAAAAGGCAGGCTATAGGAGCTCTGGAAAACATGACCTCCTGCCGAAGCCCATCGATTGAGCTCTCTGTCTGGCTACAGACTCGGAGGACTTCATCCCGCAGCTTTTGTAAGGGTTCTCTGTCAGTTCCTCGACCTGTGATCATTTGGACGACGCACCTGCTGATCCAAAGTGAGAAATTCAAGCCCTAGCATGGAGACTCCACGGATTTCTGATGCAATGTAGACTCCATAATCTTCGCTATCATTCCGGATGACCCTGAAGGACTTAGCGCTCTTAATGAAGTCCTTTTGCTCGCCAAATATGGCGAACATCCAACCGTGTTTCCCTGGACGTAGTTGACTCAATTCAGGATGGAAGTTGACTTCGCCCAGAAATGCCGTCGGCCTATCCTTGTCGAACTAGACCTTCTTCATTAATACAAATTACCAGAGAAAGTACCGTAGACTTGCCTCTGCTGGTTCGCGAGGAGCTCCAGCCTTATTGGATATTTGATTCACGAGTACGTTCCTCATTTCTTTGATAGCAGCTGTATTGCAAGCGCTGAGAAGGAGGATGTTGCTTTCGCTCTGGAAACATTGGATGAGATAAGAGACGAAAATGAGATTTCAGAAGCGCTGACCTCGTGCATCCGAAGGCTCTGTAGAGCTTGATAATTGTGCAGTGGCCGATAGAGGGTACTCTGCCTTGCCACCAACGCTTTAAAACGGCGCTGCATCTGGTCCCAGTACGGCGTACGGTTCGCCAACTGGAGCGGATTGAGTGGAATGATACAATTGGAAAGAAAAAGACTTACAGTAATACGCAGTAACTGGTCGGAGAGCTTCCCACATGCCTGGAGAGATTGGTCCAAATGCGTAATTAGCCTGTCGAATGCAGATCGAGCAGAGTACTCCATGGTGTCAGAAGGTAACGTCCCGAAAAGCTACCAATTATAACGTATTTATACCGAAAGCAAGTGCCACCGTACCTGTGCCACGATCCAATGTGACAAAGCGGTGACTGGTTTTGAAAAGTTCAGAGGGTCGTGAAGCTTTGAAGCTTGAAGCGTCGTTTCACCTGAGCACCATTTACTTGAAGATCTTTGTCCATATCAAGTTTACAATGAGATGTTGGATAAGGAGATTCCCTTGTGCTCGTTGGTTCAATGCCGAAGGAAGAAAGCAAAGGGGAAGATAAGATAGGAGAAAGAGATAAGATGGTCGATCATCGTGGGAATTGAACCGATCTGCTTGTTGCCGGGAGTATTCGCAGGTTGTTTCCGCCGGGAATGTTGCTTGGGCTTCGACGCCCATCTCAGTCTCTAATTTCGACGGATGCTCTATCGAGCCTTTCGTTATAGAGCATATCTCCCTTCACGTTATCCAACACCGCCTTTCCTAAGCAGCAATGGTCTCGGTCTCTTCAGCAAACGGACATTCATCACTTCCACGCGGAAGACGTTGACTCTGAAGGATAGCCAACCTGATCTCGTAATACTTGGGATTGGCGTCGGCCTAGCTGGAATGACCATTTTCCAATCCAAGAAACCGAAATCTGCCAATGATAAATTCAGCGGCGCAGTGCGGCACCTGGTTCCCAACAACTTCCGAGATGAAGAGATCAGGTGGCTTTTGCAGATCCTACAGTACGTCTCATTCGAGAGTTTTGACTTTGCGTTGGCGACTTTGGCTGCCCAAGGCTCGTCGGAACCCTCTAACCTTAAAACCCTCTTGCGCGTCGACGGTATTTCCCTGCAATCGTGAGTCTTTATTACATGGTCTTCCAATTTGTCTGATGAGCTTCGATGTCGACAGAGCACCGCCTTCGTATTTGTACGCAGCCAATACGGAGATTGCCTTGCCAGGCTATCACTTCTATGGGCAAGGTATTTTCGAAGGGCAGAGAGGGCCTGCCATGTCCGAAATGCTTTCTGCCAAACTTTTTCCGATCATGACCCCAATAATGCAAGCAATGCACGAGAACATGCACGGGAAGGATGGAACCTCCCTGGGCCCGGAAGAGGTCATGACTTATATCAAGGAAACTTTCGTCACCATAGATCATATCCACGTCCTCCTCAAGCTTCGCGACATATACGAGGCTGTGAAGGAACATGCCACCTCGCGGGTAGAGGAAGGTGACAAGGATATCTACACCGTACCGTTGAGAACATTTTCTAAGAAAGACGCCAAAGACCTAGTGGATGCCTACTCCGGCTCGACAGCTCTCGTGGCGCTGTACAACGACCTCGATCGCAGCCTGTACGTCGCGCGTACGGGCGGTGGGCGTGCTATCCTGGGGAGGCGCGTGAAAGACCCTGATGGTTACAGATACGAGACCCGCGTACTCCTTGCAGAGGACGATCCGGACGACGGCCATGTACGCATTTTTGGGAACGCTCCAGCGAAATGGCCCTCACAGGCCGTCAAGCTAATCCATGATTGGTACCTAGGCCCGGCCCCTTCGCCTGAAGACCAGTCCTCGGAAGGAGTTTTGCAGGGGAAATACACCGCTGAGCCTACCCTAGTACGCTTCCCCGACGTCCAGCGAGGGGATTTTGTCGTCCTTGGGTCTCAAGGACTATGGGAGTGCCTCGATAATGAGCAGGTCATCGGCTTGGTTGGGCAGTGGTTGGAAGAGCAAGGCATTAAGGAACTAGTGGGTGACTCCCCCGGCCCACAGCGCGAAGTCATGATCCCATGGACAAGGCGCACGCTGTCCGAATTCGCTGCCTCCAGTCCTTTCTTGAAAGAAAGCACGTTCAGTCCAGAGGATTTGCCCGTGATCTACCCTGAAGGATATGAAGACAGGACAACGAAATACAAATCGTGGAAGGCGGAGAAGCGCTTCATTTCCGTGGCGAAAGACCTCAACGTGGCCTCTCATATTGCGAGAAACGCGCTCGGTGGGGCTGATCGCGAGCTCGCCGAGGCGTTGTACCAGATAGGCGGTGATGTGGGGAAACAACTCCGGTGAGGAAATACTTGTGCAAGGAGCTATTAGTCGACATTGCTTCTAGGGACGATATTTACGTCTGTGTTTTATTCTTTGGCTGAAAGATGCGCGAACATCCTCTGTAAATTATATCTATCCATTAACCATAATTATCTCAGTCCTTACGAGGGCCTCGGACTTGCGTCCATTGACGCACTTGGAGTGGCAATCCTCAGCACGCAGATTCATCATTCCGCAGAGAAAAACATTTGTTAGAAATTATACGAGAGCGAATATTCTGCCCTCTCTCCAGCACATAGTCAAGAATTCGTTAAAGGCGACCAATTACTCTTCGTTCCGCTACCGTCGTAAACATGAGAGAAGTAGTGAACGAAGAAGGGCGAAGATCACGGAAAATGAATCCACGTGACCAGCGGAGCGACATTGCCGCAAATTGCCGTCGGTCCCTATTTGGGATCCTCCTGCCGTCTGTCGTGAAAGTCCGATGGGTTGTCAGCTTCTCCTGTGTTAACCACGACGACGGTCGCTCATAACCTTATACCAAACGACATTCACAGGAAGCCAGGCTACTCTCGTCACCTACCCTGTCCTCTCTTCACCCGTACCTCGTTGGATCCTCGAAGCGACTGCGCGACGTCATCTCTTACTCTCAGACTGAAGCACAAACTCCTGGGGCGGGATTAAGGAGGGGGTATCAACAGCTGGCCAGAACGCCCTGGAATCTGGAAAATATCAGCATGCACAACTCGCTGGACGTGGCTACTGTCCTGGGGAGGAGAGAAACACCAAAGATCAATGGATCATCTGCAGGTGAGTCGTATGGATTGAGAATTCTCATCAAACGTAACTTTCATTTTACTGACGAAACACCGATGTTGTAGCTTTCATAGCTCTGGTGGTGGTCCTAGTTCTCATCATCGTCGTATCTTGCACCGCTGTGATATTTCTCTTGCGGGAGGAACGGGCCCAAGACGAAGAAGCCCTTCGCCATAGGCACCGGTCGCGTGAGGAGCCATCATCTTATCCACAGAAATCCCAGAGATGGTACACCCGCATCTTTGGCCTTCCAACCTACAAAGCCGCCCGCAGCGGTGAATCGCCTTCTCGCTCCGACAAAGTTAAAAAGTACAAGATGGGGCGGCATGGGCAGGGGTGGGTGCAAGCGGGAAGTGGAAACGAATGGGACTCCGACTCCGGGGACGACTTCCCTTCACCACGGAAGACGCAGAATATCCCCGGACCTTCTGCTGCTGCTATGCGGACGCGGGACTACGACCCCTCGCTCGGGACTCCCAGCAATTCGTCGACTGCAGGGTCCCCGTTCCCCTATCACCCCACCCAGAGCCGGAGCCCGCACCCTATACCACCGAGGGTATACAGCCCTGTCTCCGATACGTCGTCGAACCACAGCATGCGCGGGTACGACCCCCACGGCGTGCGCGGGCTCTCGTACCCGGAGCACTACGCACCGTCAGTGCAAGGCGCCACGCTCCCCAGCATCGCCTCGCAGCTCTACTCCCCGCCATCTTCCCCATCGCCATCGTCTGATCACCACCATTATACCCCTGCGAACACCCGGAGATCCATCCCGGGTACCTCTGGGACGCTGGAGAGCGAACCCTCGAATGATTCGATGAACTCAAGCCGCGTGCCACCACGTTCGTTTGCTTCTCAGTCGATACCCTCAGTGCGCACGTTCGAGGGAGGAACAAAATTTATTGAAGGCCTGTAAAGTGACCTTATACTCTGTAACGACCACCCACCTGACGTCAAGATTCCTCATCGCTTGGACGTTCGCTATTATTTACTTCATGACCATTGTAATCTACGCACTTGATGTTTTTATTACCTGTTCTTCACGGCCTCCCACTTGTCATTATTTTGGACTGTACATTGTAATTTTGTGTCGTTGATGTTGCTCTGATGTTTGAATTTTGTAGTTAGTTGTTGGCCTCGTATTAGGAGTCAAGCCTCAAACTTCAAGTCTAGTCAAGTATACCTGAAAATCTGCTGCATGTGTACTCTACATCGTGATCCTCGTTACACGTGGGCAGCGAACTCTGATAAGACGGAGGGCTCGCCGAGGTGCCAGTGACCGCATGTGGCTAGAAGCTAGATCTCCCCCAAGGAGTCTGTTGAGGGTAGAAGTGCATACATTTCGAGGGCTTCACCTTCTCGTTGCACGTTGAAAATCTTGCTCTCCATGGAGGCCGTTGAACGTGCTGCTCCTAGCTCGTGTCATCTCGCTCCTGCCAATCCTCTGCTTTGCCGTCATGTTCTGATAGAATCGTGCTAGTGTGAATGCTGAAAGACAGTACATGTGAATGTTAGAATTTTCTTTGGACGGACCATCATCGATGGGCCCACTTGGAAGGTATTTAAGGCCAAGGGAGACAAATGAAATGATAGGACATTTGCCAACCCACAATTTCAGGAAGGCGAAGGACTATTTCACTCTATCATGCTACGTAGCCTTGTATCCCGAGTAATTTCTCGAGGATCCAAGACTGCGTAGCTGAGACGCGTGGAATCGAGGTCGCTTCATCTTCGCGGTCTGGGGTGTTTGTGCTTCGAACAATTTGCCTTTCAAAAATATGAGAGAAATATAATAATAGGCTAGAACATCATGCGATATCGCTCTCCGCCTCAGAAAACCGCCGCTCTTCACGACGTCAATGTCGATATCGACATCGACACCGTAGCTGATCAGGCTCGAATCCCACAGGTATATTCTGATGTCTTTGAGGTATACAGCTTACACGGCTCTTCCTTATCTACCCAGTCAGTATGGGCGATTTTTCTCTTTCGTTCGCTTCACACCTCACCCCGGTACATCTGGGCGGCCGGTTCGAAGCGTAGCAACTCGGGACACAAGATAAGCAGCATGAAGGTCTTCTGGCTCGATACCGAAGCGAGATAAACGGCTTAAGGAAAAGTAACGGCAAATACTAGATACTTTCAGCTTATCATGCCTCGAGCATTTGGCATGAGGCCCCAGAGCACATGGGCGTGGAGGGCAAAGTTTGCGGTATTCCCCTTTCCGGGTTTCCAAAATTGTGGGTGCTCGAGCGTGCGAAGAAACTCTTGATCGGAACACTTCGTTCCCGTTCCGGAATCTGAACACTCTTGCTTCTCGCCCTCACCGTCGATATTACCTCACCTCTGACACGAATGTCAAGCCTCGGATGACGGAGGCCTTCAACTTATTGGAATCTCACCTCATATCAAGCAATTCCAGTGCTGGTCAGGGGTCACCTTCCCTGGGATTACTTTCCAGTGCCTCCATGGGCCAACGCACGGGATAAATCCCCTCAACGTCGTACTCGACGCGTCCTCGGAAGGAGCTCGGTTTGAGCTTGTGACATGCGCTGACCGACTCCTTTCGGTCGCGTTGCATTACTGTACCCGATATCCCACCGTTCGCGACGCCTAATCGAATCACTGGACCTTATGGTATAAATCCGTCCGGGGCGGTGGTGTCGAGCCTATGGTTATGTCAACATGACACGGACTGTCCCTCGTCTTCCCAAATGCGACCAACCCCGATTTGTTCCGTATCACGGGGGTACCTCTACATTTTTTGCTGTCTACCCTGCCTGTGTATCTCACTGAAGGGGCTCGACGAGATTAAAATTCGACCAATGTTGTTCCAGAGGAGCGCGTCGCCGAAGCCAAGGAGAGGCTTGGGCTCCCGAGCCCTAAGAGATGTCTGTAGGAGCGATGTAAACTCTCAACTTGATTTGGGTGGTTATATTCATAACTTGGCATTCAGAAGTAAGGAGCCTTTCCTGGGAATGAAAATCGTGGATTCCTATTACCTCGTGTTGGTCTTTGGGCACGGGTTGCCGTGGATATAATCTGGCTCAGGCTGGTGAGTACTTATCGATGGTTTTCTGGTCTGAGTACAATGTTCCACCTGCCACCTACAGTCCACTTCCTTCTGCAACGCCTGCTTTCTCATCCAATTGATCGCATATCTGGAGTGGGTTCGCCGCCTGGACTGCGACATCTTAAACTCTGCCCCCAAGGTGATCATCAAACGGTTCAAGCGTTCGCGCTATCTTTCTTTCTTCACGCCCGACCTCCAACCCGGTCACGAAGGGAAAATGCGCCCTTCAACTTGCCCAATTTTCGAGTCCCGCTGTTAGGACGACCACGCCGCAAAACGGACGCGCTGGAACATGCACGATAGTGCACCCAATGCCCCTTCCCGAAGAAGATGGAAATTTGAAATCCTTTAAATTTGATACCACCTGGACGCGAAGACGAAGACATGAGGCGCAGCTAGACCACGTGCTAAGCCAGAGGATTTTCGAAATTTAAACCGCTCTTTGTCCGCAACGTGCATCATTCATGGAACCGCGATTTCCTAGGATTTCCTCCGGAAATCTTCAATCTCCTCATAGACGCGATATGGGAGGGTTCAAAGACTCAAGCAGGAGCTCTCAGCCAGTACAGCCTCGTTTCTCGATCCTTTGCACAACATGTCCGGCAGTTAATATTTTCAAGAGTTGTCCCGAAGAATTTTCTTTCGCAGTACACTCAGGACTATCGGCCCTCACAATCGCACAGGCAACACAACCCATCCCCACGGTCGTCATTATCCTTACAATACAGTCAATTGCTTTTTACACAAATTTTGTTCTTTGTCTTCCGTTACTTCAGGTGACGCGGTGTCCACGAATACCCAAGACATTAGGAAATCGGTTTTTCGTACACACAGTTTTGCGAAAGTTCTCTCAATCATACCAAGATCCGACGACCACGGACAACGCGCAGGCGACATTAGGAGTAGAGAAGTAGGGGAGGGCAGTTTTGATCAAAGATTCGACCTCAACGAAAACCTTTGCTCTGTCTTGCGGGTCCATGTTGACGGTGAGACGGATCGCTATACCAACCTTCTCGACCTTTGCGAACTTGGGCGAGGAGAAGAACTGATTAAGTCGTGACCACTGGTTGGTCTCGGATGGAGGAGCTTGGATGTCGTCGACCAGAGCGTCTGTGGTAGGAGTCTCTGCATGCATTTCGAAATCAAGCTCAAAGGTCCGCAAAGTATTCGGGACCTGAATACAGTCAAGCAAATTGCCTTCCAGCAGGCCGGTGTTCTGAATTGAGGAAAATGAGGGGAACTTCCTGGGGGATTCGTCGCATATGCGAAGGCGAGTCAGTTTTTCCATGTGTGCGAGGTTCAGGAAAGACGGTTCAAGGAATCCCACACCATCTGTAGGGGGAGGGAATCAAGGTTAGTATGGTGTTCAGTCGACGAATTCAGCAAGCAGCCAACTAACCTTCAAACCTTATCTCCAGGAATTCGAGGGTGCTCTGGACACGTGACAATACCGTGAACGCTTCGCCTTCATCGCCAATGTTATAGCGAAGCTTGCGCAGCGAGGATAGAGCTGATTGCGACATGAGGCGGCGATTTTCAACAATTTTGCCTTCCAGAAGAAGCTCGTAAGACCCATCGACTTCGAGTGATTCCAGTTGAGGGTAAAAGGCATCCAGGCTAGGTCCACAAATCCTCGGGTCGACAGAGCAGAAGTCAAGGGAGATGTGTCGCAAGTGGCTACCCAAGAAAAGACTCCTTGGGATGTCCCAGAGAAGCCTCAAAATGAGATTTTCTAGGTAGGGCGAAATCAAAAGGTCGCGAAGCGCACGCTTGAATATCGGTCCCACATTCGTCCAAGATTCGTGAAATAGGACGTCTAATGTCGAAATGACATGATCTGTGCCTTGAAGAGCTTGGAGAATAAGAGAGACTTGCTCCTCCCATCGTTCGATGCCTTCTCGGTCCCGAGGCCGCTGATCGTAACCACAATCGACTTTCTTGACGTAACGCGCGATGTTGGAGATTCCACCCTTGCCCTCTGGCATCCAAGTGACCAATTTATGGAGCGTCCGGAGCATCTTGACCCCGGATTTGCCACTCCGGCCTTCACGCCCAGCGTAGACGTATCGAAAGATGTGTTGGCGAGCAGGATGGGCAAAATCCCGAGAAACCAAGCTGCATGTTCGAAGAGCTTCGCGTTGTGACTTGTCTACGGGGTATTGAGCAAGAGAGTCGATGAAGAGGTCGCAGACTTCAGGAGCGAACGTAGGGCAGGACATGATGGTGGTACGAGATAGAGTTTTGTGCGATTATGTTCCCACGCAATACGCCTTTATTGAAGCTCTTTCTTTACTGGCACTTGGCTGACATTCACTAGCGTGCAATATTTTACGCAGCAGTATCAGTCCTTTCATTTTGCTAATACTTACGGTTCGGATGTATAAAAAATACTATGATTCATGAATCATCATGTGAACAAGTCCCACAGGTGGTACCACATATTCTGCGAGGGATGAAAGTCGACATACCCCCTGGAAAAGGCATCAAAATTAGCCGCCTTGGCCTCTTCTTTTGAGTCGATGATTCGTCTGACTCGGCACGTCGCCACATCATCTGCAAGCTCTCTCTGAAAATCTCGAGTTTTGATCTGCGTCAGAAACCGGCTTGGATCGAGTGTCCCTCTCCTTTTTGTAGAATGAGAGAACATCGTTGGCACAATTGACAACAATGGAAATTTTTGGGAGAGACTAGTGTTGGGGGCGAGTTAAGAATAACCTTAGGATTTGTGTTAAAGAAAACCCAAGTGCCTACCTGAATGTAATTACTCAAGGCGATGTGGGCGAAATGATGAGGAAAGCGTACGCTTCAGTCTTGCTCCGGATAAGAGTAGCCTGTATCCCGCTATAATGGATATGAATCCCACGAAGGAAACACGCCAGCGACTCTAGAACCCCGTTTGCTTGGGGTTGTCCCGTGATGAAGCGCTCATAGAACGGCTCCATGCCGCTAATGTCTCGAGTAATAATAGAATCATCGAGAAACACGCGGAAAATAGTGTACAGCACGATGAAGACTTGAATCTCGCGATTACGGAGGTGCGTGTACGACGTCGCGGCGATTACAACTCCGACTGGAAGCCCTTCAGGATTGACGGTTCACCGGGGGGGTGCTGTTGACAGGGCATCCATTTTTGTGCGACTCCTCAGGACACAGATCGTGTAGATCCATGTCGTAAGGCTGCTCGCTGTGAGACATTTTACATCGGTCGAAGAACCGGTTAAGGACATCACGAATGTCAATGGGGAAGGTTGAGGAGAGTTGGGTGTCTGCTTTGCTTGCCTCCTGCAGGAGCAAGGAATCGACGACACCGGGGTCTCAGCACGGAAGGGGAACGAATCAAATACCATTACAACGTCACTAGAGTATGTACTCCACACTGTGGGATACCGTTGGTTGATAGAGAAACGAAGTACACGAATGAAAGGGAGATAGGACACTTCAATGAGATTGAACATGAAATGAGGGGGGAGTTCAAGTGCGGAGCTCTCTAGTTCTTATAGGCGGATGAATATTCCCTGGAACCGCCACTCGCGGGAAACAGCTTTTGAAATGATAGAATTTCTAACAAAGTGCGTACCATTAAACTTCCTGTGCTGGCACAGTTGGCCGCAAAGATATGGATCGCCAATGTAAAATCAACCTAGAGTTCTTCAAACATTCAGGGTTACCGCGCGAGGCAGACAATATTTCATCCGACGCAACCATGCAAGCTGGCAACCTATCTAAGGGAGGTGCTCCACGGTGCACATCGCGCCACATTGCATCAGCTTAAGGGAATTATTTCCTAATCTGTAAATAGACTCGGCTGTTTGGATCGTCTCGTGTGAGTTGCCGTTGAAGAAAAGCTCGTGGCGGAGTATCTTCGGGAAAAACATACCTTGAGTGTGAAGGTATATTCCCGGTCGAAGTTGTCCTCCATGATCAGAGCGAGGAGAGTGAGACTTGCCTGAAAAGTTGGTCCTCCAAGCCATGGTTGCGATAGATGAATTTTGACGTTATCATCCAATGCTTGCACCGCATCTGATCTGCTATACTTGTTTTGTGTCCGGTCAACAGATTAAGTGCCTTCAGTGCATTGTCTGCATCTGTCCCGTTGGACCTGAAAATTGCGTCATTACAGCGGGATTTCTGGTGACGTTGGAATCGAGTACATGGGTGGTCTCAGATGTACTTCAAGTCAGGAAGAACGGTAACACCTTCGGTTGGTTCAGATGGCGCATCCGATCCACAGAGAATCCCAGAATAACTCAACATACCTTTTCTTGGTGAGTGAGCGCTGAGCGCTGAGCCGAATACCATGAGCGAGCCTCAGGTGTGGTCCGGAAACTTGAAGAGTTCCCAGTCAGGAAGAGTAGACACTGGGAACGAGAACCTATCAAGGGGGATATCGAGGCTGAGACTTCGGCGTCAATGCCTAGAGAAACGCGCAGCAGGAAGATAAAGAAAGATGGCCCGCGATGCGAGATTTGGAACACGTGGAGAGCACGGATGCAATAATGAAACAGAAGCCGCGTATTTCACAGACATTGGAGCTGTCCAGAAAGAATAGGAGTCGGTACCGATCCTCTTCCTGGTGGAAAGAGCTTTAGAAAGGGATTGACAAGCAGCAAAGATAGGAAGATTAGCATGTTGCAGAAAGAAGGTTGTCGAAACACTTGCCGGCATCCACGTCCAGGCTGGCACCATTTCTAGCCATCACTGCGGGCAATCGGCTGGGTCTTGGAAGTGCCATTTACTTGTGTGATGTTCAATTTAAACACTGAGGGAAGAAACACTGGAATAGACAACTGAAAGTGTAGACTGACATATGACATTCATTAGGCAAGAAATCTGATGACAGTCGTCGGGAATTACAGGGCAGAGTATTTATATACCTTGAAGGTAGACTTCATGCTGTGTCGCAACGATGATGGACAACGTAGATGTCGAGTTCGAGTCAGAAAAATATGGGAGTGCTGTTCTGACCTGGGATTCAATCCGGTTGTAAAGGTCTTTGGTTTCTGGAGGAAGAGCTTCTTCCGTGAAACGCCCAATTATCAAGGCTATGACGACCTCCTCGACAGCTGTGAAACTTGGTGAAGAGAGAACTCCATTAAGGCGTGCCCATTGGTTGACGGCAGGAGGGGCGTCAAAGGAATCGAGGAGAGGTGTAATGATGGAAGGGCCTTTCTTAAACTCCAAGACGTACCTGAGTTCCAGCCGTCGCAGGGACGCTGGGACTCGAAGGACATCCAGGAGGTCGTAGTTAAAGTCGCCAATATTGACAGCAGGAGAAAAATAGTCGGACATTTCCTGTCGCTCTTCGAGGATCCGAAGGTGGTTTAACTTCTTCATGTGAGTGAGATCAAACATATCCGCTTGCATTGAACCTGCATATTCTGAGAGAAAAATCAATCTCGCTTTCTTGAACAAACACAATCCTGAGCTGTTGACTCACGCCCTATTTTGATCTCAAGATCCTCAAGAGTATTGCTGACTCGCGAAAGAATGGCAGAAACCCCATCAGCATCCCGCAATTCCGTCGTCCAGTTCAGCTTTCTAAGTGCGAAAAGCGCCGAAGGCAGCAGAATTTTATGTTCCCCTTTGGTTTGTTCGCCCTCAAAAAGTGAGGTGACATCGCCATCAACATGGACAGAATCGAGTTGAGGATACAAGGGGCTGGCAGCGGGATAGCGAGAGGAATAGTAGAAGGTATCTTCCTCATCACTGACAAAGCACTGCACCAGTATAATCCCTTTGAGGTGAGTTCCGATAAGAATATTTCTTGGAAGGTTGTCGATCAAAATCAAGTGGAGAGAGGTAAGGCGGGAGGAGAGTAGGATGTCGCGAATGGCGTGCTGTAGCCCCAGTCCGATATTGAGCCAGCTCTCGTTGCAGAATAGCACAAGACACTCGATTCCGTGCTCCGGGCCATGAAGTACCTGTAAGATTGCGGATAGAATGCCTTCCAACTCCCTGGATTCTGGGCCGAGATCGCAGGAGGAAGTGAATCTTCGAACGTAGGACACGATGCTAGGAAATCCACCTGGACGACTAGATTTCGGTTTCCAGGTCATAAGTTTGTAAAGTGCAATCAAGTCGTCGATTCCTGAGATACGTTTTCCCCGTCTATGGTTTGATGCAATAATATGACGGAAAATACGGCGCCGTGCTCTGTGGGCAAAAGCCCTTGAGACCAGCGCGCATGCGCGCAGCCCTACTATTTCACGCCCCAATTGCGAGTCCGCGAGAGCATCGATGAAGGCATCGCAAAGTTCGTGAGGGAAGCGGGGGGATGACATGGACGCAGGAGACAAGAGTACTTCGTACTTCGTGGAAAGACAAGGTTTGAATGACGTATGTAAGCTGAAAGTTCCGAAAATAGCCGAAAATGCCATTTCCTCTTTGACTTCGGCGTCTATCTGAACTTCCTCGAACTTTGAACTCTCCGAAGTGTCGTGCATACTTCGTTTAAGCCACCCACTTTACATCTTATGCTATCGCCTTTTATCAGGGATTATGTTATATCAGGCTATCAGCCAAAAAACAGTACGCAAACATAAATATCGTCCCTGTTCAAGAAATCAGTGAAGCCCCGCACCCATGCCCGAATGACCCACCGAAGCTCCTTACCCCTCTCACCCCGGATCTGGTACAACGCCTCCGCGAGATCACGGTCTGCACCATCCAACGCATTTCGCACTATGTGAGAGGCAACGTTCTCATCTTTCGGCAGGGATATGAACCGCTTTTGCGTTTTCCAGGATGTGTATCTGCGCGTCGTGTCCTCGTATCCCTTGGGGTAGATCACGGGCAGCTCGTCCGAAGTGAACGTGCTTTCGCGCAGGTCTTTCGGGTCTTTGGTGCCCATTGGCGGGAGGATCACTTCGCGTTGGGTACCGTCAGAGCTGCAGGTCACTTCTCTGACGCCTCGCTCCTCGAGCCACTGCCCGACTAGCCCGACGACTTGCTCGCTGTCCAGAGATTCACCTAACCCTTCTGAGCCGACTACGACAAAGTCGCCCCGCTCGATTCCGCTGAAGTGCGAGACGATGGGCTCAGCCGTCGGTGTAGGCTTGTGGTCATTGATGGGTGGTGGGCCCAGGTATTTCTCATGTATGTTCTGCAGAACGGCTGTAGTCCATTTTCTAGCACTGTCACCGAAAACGCGGGTGGGGCGTTGGATATCGTCGGCACCTTCTTCCTCCATGCTAATTGTGTGCGCCTCGTATTTATCCCGAGGATCGACAACGCGTCTCCCAAGAACTGCACACCCACCGCCGCCAGTACGCGCGACGTACAAAGTGCGGTGCTCGTCATCATATAGCGTTATGAGAGCCGTTGCGCTGGAAAGGGGGTCGACCAACGCTTTTGCGTCTCTCCTCGACACTTTATTCTTCTTGATCAGTTCTGCCATTTGCACTGCTCTGTAAAGGACACGATTGTCATGTTGTACGAAGGCGTCTGTGAGGGATTTTTTGATAATTTCTGGAGTTAGTGTAGGTAAGGCGTGGGCCCCCTTTCGTAAAGCAGGTGCGTATAGGCCGTCGATCATGGCTACAATGCGAGTCATGAGCTGGTCCTGCAGCAGTTTCGCCATGGCGGGCCCTTTCTGGCCTTCGAAAATACCGCAACCATGGAGTTTGGATCTTGAGGTGGGTAATGTGATTTCCACATTGTTGACGAACAGAGAGGGCGGGCCCACTCTAAGTATTGGCATCAGTGTTGATCAGTGAAAGGGGGGCATTGGGCAGGACTCACGATGAAAGACACAGGGAATCCATTCGCAGGACACTCTTCAAAGTTGTTTGGAGAGTGTCTGGAAGCACTTCAAGTGCAGACTCGAAGTCTGCAAAAGGGACGTACTGGGATATCTGAAGGAGAGGTATAATCGCCTCATCGAGCTGTTCGGGCTTCCAACCTAGTGCTACGAGCAAGCAGGTGAGCAATTTCTGAGAAACGTCCTTGACATATTTCTATTCCTTGTGTCCGACAAGGAAGGGAATACATAATCCGAGGCCAATTCCGAGCGCTACCAGGTCCAGATGGCTCCTTTTCAACGACCACTTCGATCGAGCTGAAGCCTGAGTAAATGGACGTCTGATGCCGTGTCCGCAACCCCCAATAGCTGGCGGCGTCAAATTATGGGAAATGAGGTTGAAAGAGGCCCGGGAGGCCTTTTGAAGCATTCCGATTTTGGGGTTCAGAAGGAACAAGTGAATACCACACGAATACTTGCGGCAAAGAAGTGATATCGAGGATTTTATCTTATCTGTACCCTATTAAGAAGAACTAGAGGGATACCCGTGCGTTGCACGGGGCCGGGGTTTCAAACTCCCTGTCTCCTTGTCTCCTGTTTCGAATATTTTTGTTCTTATTTGCTTTTCCTGGAGGGCTTACTTATTTATTTACTCCCCCAGCCCGTTCGGCGAGAGATTTCTTCTTAGACTTGTTTTTCTTTATAGTATGAAAGCCCCGTATTGCATGTTTTTGTGCAATAACATTCAGGTCTCATCTCTTTTTGCTCACTCGGGGCCCTCGTCTCTCATGCTCGTCTCTTGTCACCTTCCTCTCCTGTCACTCGTCCCATTTTAACCATTGTTCAGGGCCGTCGTTGCCCCGTCTCTCGATCCCGCCATCGTCTCGAGATACATTCCCGGGCTTAGCGCCTACCATCCTCCGTTTTCGGGTCTTTACAGACCAAATGTTGGTCTACGTCGCGGCCACCTACTCTGTTCTTTCCTAGAGAACTCACTTCCTCGCTCCTCTGTTTCTGAATCGTGCGAGCCATGGTTAGAGCCGCATAATTGCGGAATCCATCCCCACCCGTCAGCAGGCGGTGATTCGGATGTGTCCTCATTCATTCTTTCCCTCTACACGACCACCCATAGGCACATCAATGCCCGTGCATATGCAGTGGCGGAACGCCGGAAATCTCGAGAACTGCGGCCCGCTACCGATGAGCCAAGGGAGCTACTTCACGCTGCTGATCCAGTTGAACAGCTCAAGCGACGCGTCAAAATTAGAGAGGCATCAAGGCCAAACATGCGTAAATTGCAGCTCAATGAAATGGAAGAGCACAATATCAAAACAGTTGGCATACCTTGTTCGTTTCCGTGTTGAGCAGCTCGTTCCCGCTCCCGCCGCGCACGTTGTGCAAGAGTTCGGTTTGATGGCTGAGGTGCCTTTGGCTCCTGCACTTGCTGGTCTAGACGAAAGGAGTGAGCATGGTTTCATTACCAATGAGGTGGGAGAACCATGTGAGCCCACCTTGGTGAATGCCCTCTCGTGCAGCTCTTTCGCGCTCTCGACGCGCACGCTGTGCAAGGGTTCAATTTGATGGAGGAGGTGCCCCAGCATTTGATGTGGGCAGGTTGGAATCTGATTGGTATCGATGAGAGAACGATGTAATGGAATACGAATGACATACCTTGAAGCTGACCCTGGGCAGCTCGCTCTCTCGCTCTGCGCGCCTGTTGAGCAAGGCTCCTCCGTGTGGCTTGCATCTGTTTGAGTGTGGCAGGTGGGGTAGGAGGTCCTTCAACGCAATCCTGCGTCAGTAAACACGCTGCTGAGGAAGGGAATAGAATGCTTACCCTGGTGCTCACTCGCTGCCAGCTGGGCTGTCTTCCCTCGTGTGACCGCCAGCTTCACTGCAGCTCTGAGAGTTCGGTAGTCAGCGAGCAGCAGGCGGGTCTTCGTGCCGTGCCTCTCTGCTTTGAGCTCACTCGCGCTCTTGCTGCCGTTGTCGTTCTCTGCGTTCAAATGCTGCTACGATGGCGTCGTCGAGACTGATTAAGTGCTGCTGCCAATCTGATATGTCGGTCAATGTTGAATGCCAGTCGAGCGGGCTGAAGGTGACGTACCTGGGGCCTCTGCCTGCTAATTTATACATCTCATCGCAGCCCGCTATGCAATGGATTGGTCAGCCCACAGTGTGCAGTGGCTGGCAGTCGAGAGGCTGACCATCTTGACGTTGTCTGCGAGCATGGTGGTTCGAGGTGGACGCTGGTCGAGTGGATGGGTCGAGATTCTTCGCGAGCACAGTCGTTCGAGAATCGAGATGGACGTGTAAGCGATGATCGACGGACACGGCCCGGAACGGACAGCGCTTTCTGAAGAGACTGTTGGTTATCCACGTGACCTGGATAACCAACACTTTGTTCGCTTTCTTATCTAATCTAGCGAGATAATAGCGTTGAAGGATAAGCAAAAGTTGACGGAGTCAACTTTTGAAGTTGTCCACCAGGAAAGGGATACTGTTTTAGTATTTAGATCTCATGTAATCAACTTCGTTGCTCTCGCCTCCCATGACATCGTCCTCCAGGTCGTATCCTCGCTTCCCGCCTGAAATATGCGATCTCTTCGTTAGCGCTCTCGACAAATGGCCGGCAACCAGAACACAAGTCAGAACACTCGGCGCATGCAGCCTCGTTTCGCGGTCGTTTGCGCGTAGTGCCCGCAAACACCTCTTTCGTCAGGTCTTGGCGGGCGAACAGAGAGCCAACGGAAAACCCGAGCTCGACAAACTCACGACGCTCTATGAATTAGTGACCTGGGAGCCGCGTAGCACTCAAGGCGGATCACGAACATCGTGCGCTACATCGAGGAACTCAGTTGTTCTTGTGACCAAATACTGTCAGCGGGCCTCGAGGTCGAACAATGGGATAGCATTTTCTCCGCCATCTTGCAATGCATGCATGGTTCAGACTATGGGATCCGGACTCTCAGCATCATCTGCAACGAAACGTGGTCAGAACTCGGGTTGGGCTTCCAGCACGCCTTTCGGGATCTCTTGCTTAGCCCACACCTTACGTCTCTCAACATGACAATGATGTGGGATCTTCCGAAGACCTTATTGGTGGGAAGTCACTTGCGGCACCTTTCCCTTTGGGATTGCTCTGTAAACGAAGACAGCAAAGACAGCAGACCCCTTCACTCCTCCTCCCGGTATCCTAACGCGACTGCTTTATTTCCCTCACTGGAATCGATCGAAGTCGACCTCTCTTACATGGCCCTTTTCGAGTCCGACAACCTCGCAGGAAATGAAAAATCGCCCTCTGCACTTTTTTCTCTCCATACACTCCGTTGGGACACACATTATGGTCCTGCGAAGGGCGATGTCGTCACGTTCTCGAGCGTTAAAAACACGATTGAGTTTCTTGACATTGCATTTGGACGTGAGTAATCGATATTTACAACATGAGCGCCATTTTAATCACGTAACTCGGCGTGATTGATAGAATATGCAGGCTCCATGGGAGCTTCTGTCTTTGACCTGGCGACCATGAAGAATCTGAAACGACTTCGCATCACCAACGACCGAATGGAGAACACTGCGGTGTTCTCTCCCATTATTGACATTGGCCTCGCTGACTCGGACCTTCTCGACTGGCTTCAAGTGCCTGGTACGTTGGAGTTGTTCGAGCTCAATTATGTTATCTACCTTGGAGAGGATGTCCTCAGCATGGATCCCTTTCTCGATTCCTTCGCGACAAACCAATGGTCACGACTCAACCAATTTTTCTCTTCGCACAATTTTACCAAAGTCAAGGGGGTCGCTTTGACTCCGGATTTTGCTCGGTATATGGAGTCAGTCATTCCGCAAGACAGAGCAACTTTTCTCGGGGGGGTGGAGTCGTTGATTCAAGCTGCATTTCCGCATTTTTCCGGACCCCACGTCTCTTGTGTTTTGTCTATCATTATATTAGCCTAGAATTTGCGTCGTCAATTGTTCAGCGCCTTAATTATATCAATTCACGAACCGTACATGGCTCATGGTGGCGCTCTGTCGGGATCAAGCAACATGCAGCGGGTTTTAAATCACGGCGCGACGCTTACCTCATGTTGCTCAAGCTTCAAGTCTAATCGCCGTGTTGCATCCTCTAGCTGACCAAGATCTCGCATAGATTTGCCTTCGGGCGTCTACTAGTAGAAATTTCGATTCTAAATCTTCACTTTTCCCCCGGTAATCAGGGGCCTCTTGTGTTCCTGGATCGCTTCTTTCTCGTCTCTTAAGAGCAAGGTGTAGCACCGAAGCCTCAGGGCTCAGCCTCTCATCCTGCAGAAAATCTGAGTGGTGCCAAAATAAAGGTATGATCAGAGTTACGAACCATTTCACTTAGAAATCGTCATTGTAATCGTCCTTCTTCACTGTGACGAAAACCGAAAGGACACAAGTAGTGGTGGGCTTGCTAAAGTATGGAAGGCAATGTCGGACAAAGGTTTTGATGTCAGAAAAAAACCCCTTGGGATTTTGTGCACCAGGGACCCCCTCGTTCCAATCGACCCAAAAAGACAGCGTAATGAAAACTCTTGTGACCGCAGCAAAGCCGGGTGAAGAGAAGAATTCATTCAGGCGCGTCCATTCATTCACTTCAGGAGGGGCGAAAAATGTCTCGTGAACAGCAATGACAGGAGGGTGATGTTCTCCTCCAATATTGACAGCGTACTTAAGAGAAAATGTTCGCAGAGAAGTTGGGACTCGGAGGACATCCAGAATGCTGTAGCCGCTCTTCTCGATCTGAAGCGCGGGCGAGAAGCTCATCGATCGCTCAAATCTATGATGCTGGATTCGGAGTCGATTGAGATCCTCCATGGCACGCAAGTCAAAAGTAGATGCTGGCACAGAGGTCCGATCTTGAAACAAGGCAAGGTAAGAAATACAATTGAATACGGTAAAATGGCTAGGAGACCTCTTACCGTCAAACTGAATGTCAATATATTGGACAGTACTTTTCATGCATTCATAAAGTGTTGTTGTCTTTTTGGCTTTCCTCCTAGGATACATGCGCAGCGTCTGAAGAGCAGATAAGGCCGATTGACTATTTTCGGAATCATTTTTGTCTTCACGTTCGAAAAGTCGGCGGTACATGATTCCAACGTTGTCGATGTCGACCATCTCCAGGAGAGGATACGAGGCAGTCGCGTAGGGGTAGCGCGAAGAATAATACAGAGCGCCTTCAGAGGCTTCCACCGAGCACTTTTCCAATGCTAATTGCTTGATGCGGCTTCCAATGAGTAACGTTCTTGGAAGGCCCTCTATGTCAGTCGCGCGAAATTTGACGAGATGTGGCGAGAGTAAGAGATCGCGAATAGCGCACCGCAGTCCCAGCGCAAGGCGATCCCAACGTCCACTGAAATTAAAGACGAACTTGGTGATCCCATGCTCTGGGCCGTGTATTGCGTGCAAAATGGTGGACATCAAGTCTTCCCAACGCCCGTCTTCTGGTCCTAGTTCGCAACAACAACGTAGGCTCTTGATATAGGGGTAGATAGCGGTAAGTCCACCTGGAGAGGAATGTCGTGGCTTCCATGTTATTAATTCGTGAAGCAAAATCATATAGTCTTCGTTTCCCATGCTTTCTTCCGACTCCGACTCCGAGTCAGCTTCCTGTCCGTCGTCCGAGTCGGCCGTGATGCAAACGTCGCGAAAGATGTGCCCTCGTGCACGATGAGCAAAAGCTCGCGACACCAGAGTGCATGTGCAAAGAGTTGCAACATCTAAGCGGTTGTTACTATTGCGAGCTGCCAAACAGTCGATAAAACAGTCGAGGATCTCTTGAGGAAATTGAGGATATTTGCAGGACTCGGAGGACATGGACGTTGGTAACAAGGCGCAAAAGTTTGATTCCCATGCAAATCATTGCAAAGTATTGATAAGATAAAATAGTTGATCCGTTTGGTTCGGAATGACCTTTGACAATTGTTCAAGTCAGTCCCCCCCAACTTGATCGCCGGAGCTTTTCTTTGTCGCTTAGGTATGCCATTTCATTGCTGAACTAAGAAAGTCTAAATAAAGGCGCTAATGGCCAATTTATTCACCGCAGAAGAAGCGTTTCCATTTATCGTTAGGAAAGTGACCCCGCCTATCAGGGCCAAAAATGCTGAGTATAAAACCCTAGGATGTTGCCTTACGTCTTGCACACTGCTTCTCACCTCTGCCTCGATTACTACCGTAAATGGCGACAACCAAAGTCTACATCGTCACCAATGCTGACCGCGGAGTTGGTGGGTTGAGAGATTATCCTCTAAATGTAGACTGACAAAGCATTTTAGGCTCGGCCCTCGTAGAAGTTCTTGCTCGGAAACACGAGGACATCGTCATCTACGCTGGCGTCTGTAGTCCCTCTAATGCAACAGAACTCAAAGGACTCGCGTCACAGTTCCCTGGGAAAATCGAGATCGCGGAAGTGGCAACTGGGGACGAGAACACAAACGAAACACTTGCGGAGACAATCCAAGAGAAGCATGGATATGTGGACGTCGCAATTTACAATGCAGGTGAGTGCGGCACTGGCACATTTATCTGCATGTGAGGTAATGGTTTCTTTCAAAAGGGATTACGAACGACGTGGCCTCTGCTAATGACGTTTCTCCGAATGTCTTTCGCGAGCATCTAGAGGTGCTCTATTTCTTCGTCCCGGCTTTCGAGTGAACCGGGGATTAAATATCGATCAGGGCAACGCAATAACAGTGCTGGTTCTCTATCAAGCAATGTCCGCCCTCCTGAAAGAGAGCAAATCGAAGCCGAAGTTCATTGCGGTATCCACTGAAGCGGCACATACCAACGAAGACATGGTGGGATCGTTCGATTATGGCGCATATAGTGCCTCGAAGGCGACACTGAACTATATCTGTCGGAAGATCCACTATGAAAATAGCTGGCTTGGTAGGTCCTCGTAGATCCCTGATTGGAAGCACCAACTGATAAACGCACCATTCCAGTGGCCTTGCCGATAGCACCAGGCGCAATCAAGAACGCTCCTGAAAAGGATATCCCGGACGAGCTGTTCATTACTGCGGAAGCGTCTGCTGCGGCCATTGTGAAAATCGTGGACTACGCCACACGAGAGAAGGAGGGTGGCCAGTTCATGAGGTACGACGGCATGAGACTGGATTGGTAGAAGAGGTCTGAAGTCATATGAGGTATCATGATTCCCTCGTCATACGCCAAATGTTCGGAACGTTTTTGAGGTCTTTCATTTCGGGAAAAACAGTTTGGAGGTTATTTAAACGATGATGCAGACGTCCTTAGATGAAGATCACAGCCAAAAAAGGACCCAGGGGCAACGTTATCCCTTATGAGATAACAAGTCCCCCACTGCCAGTCCTACCCAACAGCTTATATGTCGTCGGAGCTGTAATAGATAAAATGATCGTCTGTGACGACGACCGAGAGGACAGATCTGGTCTTGGAGTCCGAGAAATGCGGGAGTGACGTCCTGATGAGGGATTCGATATGATTACAGATTAGTCCATCCGGACGAGCTTCACTCTCCATAGAGGAAGGGAAGGCCAGCGTTATCATAATTTTGGTGACATTTGCGAAGTTCGGTGAGGAGAAAAGGAGATTAAGTCGTGACCAAGCATTGCCGTTAGGAGCAGCGGAAAATGAATCGATGATCAGATCGAGGCGTTGGCGAGGGTCTTCAGCGTGTTCGAGAAGGAATTTGGGCTCCAAAGTTCGCAAACTCTTGGGTACTTGCAGTAATTCGAGGACGTCAAAACCCGACTTGCTGAGATTGATGGTGGGAGAAAAGGTACTGCTCGCTGCACTCTATCCTCTTGGATCCGAAGTCGCTTCAACTTCTCCAAGTTAAACAGGTTAAAGTTGGATGGTGCAACTGCACTAGTGAAGCCTAACAAAATAGAAGGAAACAAGGATCATTAGATTAATCTAGGGGAAAACAAGGATTTGCATACCCCCAAAAGTGCAGACTGCTCAATTCCAGCACCAGTCGAGTTCTCACCTTCGAACAGCGACTTGTAACACCAGTCCAGGTCGACTGAAACTAGGGAAGGATATGAGGTAGGAGCAAATGGGTAGCGGGCAAAGTAGAAAAGACTCTGGTCGTGGGGCTACGTGGAGTACCTTCGCAAGGCCAAACGCTTTATATTACTGCCTCTCAGAAACGTCTTCGGGAGATCATCGATGCCTGCTACAAACAGCGACACCAAGCGCGGGGAGAGTAGGAGCTCGCGTATGACATGCTGCATCCCTATCCCAATATTCGACCAACGGGCGTCGCAACACAGAGAGAAACCCTTGATTCCGCGCTCCGTGCCCTGGATTGCTTGCAGAATGGCAGAGAGCATGTACTCCCAATGTTCAGCATCTGCAGTACTGGCATCGTGGTCGCAGCTCAAGATGGCGCGATATTCATGAGCCCGCCTTGGTGGCGTGACTTCCAAGTTAGAATTTCGTAAAGTGTCGGTACTTTTCGTCCCGCCTAGGAGGGCCCTCGTATGTTTCGTCCGAGACGGTAACTTGATACCAAGGCGCACGCAACGAGCGTTTCGAGATCCCAGCCGTTCAGGGGTTCCCATTGTGCAAGGGGATCGATGAAAAGATCGAAGATTTCTGGAGGAAAGTGAGGGTTCTGGATGGACATGGGCGTCGTTCGCAAACCATGCCGGACTGATTTTTCGGAAGCGGTGATTAGATCAGAGATAATGCCGATCCGTGTTGATCGGAAAACGCTCTGCCAATCGCCCATTTACTACATGACTTAGCCTTGGCTATGTATTATTGCTTTTTCCAAGTTTTGTGTTCTGAACCGTGAAATCGGTGAGAATTGTGATTCAACCACGTATATTGCATATCCATTCTCTCTCCCAGACGATTTCTGCCAAACGGGGTGCCTCAAGCACTTTCACTACTAATTACATCGTTGCAAGATTGGCATACGCTATAGTTTGGCTGTAGGACATCTGACTGCACCTCAGCCTCTCATTATACTAAAACGCATCTATGTCGGAAAAGCCTGCTCACTCTGCCTCTGAGTCTGACTGAGACGAGCCTATCGGTCAGCCTTGCTTCGCCTTTTATCCGCGCCAGCAGAAAGGCCCAGTACTCTCAGGATGGTCTAATTACTGTTACTTGTTCAACCACCAAACTGTGACACAATTACGGCGCCATGGTCCAGGAATCTCTTCGCCAGTGACGGAAGGGGTTTCTGCATTTATCCTTCATTTCGGAAAATATTCCGCCCAGATTCCATGACCGCAATGTGGACACGCACTTCTATGCGCAACGTTGCACTCGCCGGATATGCCTACGTGGGCCCATGAGCCGTAAGAAAAGGAGGTTCCGTAGGTCCTATCGGCCATACCATCCTACGGACTTTGGGCTTGCTTCCTGACTTATCTTTTGCGATGCCGTACGCGCTTGAGCCAGATACTCGGTCACCCTCGATTCTCTCCACTTCGACATAGAAGACACGGGGATCCTCCGACAATGTTGGGTCATCCTTTTTATCGAAGAATAGCTCCATTAAATCCCTCTGACTTGTTGTACGGTCCGTTGGCCGTTGTCTGTCGTCTGGACTTGTCTCTTACCTCCGCCACAAGGATAACGCGAATTGGAACATGGACTCGGAGACTCGGAAATCGATAGCGGCCTACTTGATAACCAATACGACTCTGTTCGGGTCATAACTGACTCACGGATGACTTGATTGCTTATTTTCTTGCGTTCGACATGCAGATCGATTGTCTAATTATGATCAATAGCTTCAACTCTCTAACACGTTGATATAGAGATCCGGATTTTTGTTTGCGGCCATCGGTCAGTCTTCCGGTCAATCAAAGAGGCCTTAAGAGAAAGAATCAGCTTAACTGCGCACTTCATTCCTGAAAGTCGGTGGACAGCGGCAGTTTCATCTCTGAGGATGGCCTCGGACAGTTCTTCCCTCGCATTTTGCGAACCTGATCGGTGAAAGGCGGAAATAGTACTAGATTTTCTGCAAGGGCGCTCTTTATTCAGAGGATTTCACTTCCGACCCGGAGGTGAAAACTTGAAGACTTGAAGGGACGGGGACTCATTAGAAATCGAGCATTGATAGTGGTGGGTTTACTGCGACTACTTGTATGAAATCTGATGCGGGCGTCTGGCTGATTGATTATAGATGGTTACACGGATTATATCGAGGCCTCCTTGACCAAGGACTGGCGCTGAAATAGACAGCTGGACGTCCGACCGGTATCCAGCCATTCTATCTGTATCATACTGTGGACCGATTGCTACAGGTTTCACCCTGACGTTGATGGACAAAATGTCAAGACTTGCGCTCCTCCTTCAACCTCGGTGGTGGTGGTGATACGCGGTCTGACCACTGTCACAAGGATGCACGGCCTCGAGAACTAGAGTAGAAGGAACAGAACAGCAGACAACCCAATAAATTAGTTTTATTCATATGCACTCAGCAAGTAATATGTACTACGGAGCGGAACCCTACGAGCCTTTGCATATGCAACATATACAACAAAGCAGTAGTTTATGTAGAAGTTTGCGTAACAGAACCACGGAACACGAAGGGACACGAAGCCGATTAAACTCCAAGAAAGACCGAAAATACTAGATAATTGTACAGTAATGAGCCCAAGAGGGAGAATGATGGAAACGGACAGCAAGTAGATGAGAGGGGAGGAAGAATAATGTACACAGAACGGAGAGGCCGAGAGAACATGATGGAAGGAAGGAGAGACTTGCAATTATTGGTTGAGGACTTGATTCTGTAGATGATTGGTTTCGAGGACGTGAGGATGATTGCGTTGTCGACATTATTTGTTCAGCGTACAGTGAAAGCAACGTGCGAGAGCGAAAGCGTATGACATACGGAAAGGCAGAACCTGGAAGCCAGACGGGGCCGATCCTGCCGTCCGTACCAAAAACCTGTAATTCAACACCAAACCCGAATGGAGAAAAAGAAGAAAGCCCTAATAAAAAAGACGAAAGGCGTTACGGACAGAGGTGGAACGGGAGGTACGTGTGCGTGCGTGCATATGGTGCGATTTCCAGGAAATGCAGGGATTGGTGGATGGTCGACCGATGTGGTTGGCTGGCGGTGTTGAAGTATATTCGGGGCAAGCAGTCGTTCGGACGACGGTGCGAGATTGTGGTGAGTGTGAATTTCGGGAAACGGGAGCCGAGGGCAGCGAGCAGAGCAATGGCGCAGTGCGGCGCTATGTGTACCCTACCGAGTACAGCTTGGCCTCAAAGCACACCGACAGCGTCAGGGATGCTCGTCCTGTGATCAGCGTCGTGCATGGTACTCGCTCCGAGCCTCCGATAACGCGAAGGCGAGGCGCGCTTCGTGTCCTAATCCTTCCCTTCAATCCCAGCACGACACCAGAGAGCCTGCCTACATGATTCCAAAAAAGCGCACACGCCTAACCCAACCCCCATATCCGCGAGCAAACGCCCTTATATCGTCTGCACGACAATGGACGTGTCGTCGATCCAGGCCGAGTCCATGTCCAACGTGAGCACCTTCGACACCTTGAGCCTGTCCTCGCCGCCGATGGCACGCCGGAGGAGCCTAAGCGCCATGTTATCTTTCTCCGACCACGCCGGCTGGTCCGTGACGCTCTCAGGTGGGTGGCGCATTACCATGCTGCGCGCCCACGACTCGATGATTCGTTGCGGCCCTTCGCCGTCCGACTCACAGAGGTCTGCGAACCCGTCTGATGCGAGGATCAAGAAGCGCGGAAGGGGCGGCTGGGGGGCTTCGGGGTGAGGTATGATAGACGTCTTTGACCAGAGTAGATTCTTCACCGCGGGGACCGACACACTGATGCCGGTGACTGGGCACGCCGACGCGGCCGCGTGCGTGTCGTCTATCCGCCTGTGGATGATCTGTGGCTCCGCGGTGATGTAGGGCGGCGTCTTGTTCCGCTTGAGGAACTCCTCCCATGGCGAGGTGTTGTGGAAGCCAGGGTGGAGGTTGTACAGGATCCTGCGAGTAAATGCGGGCGGCTGCTTGAAGGGGATGTCGCCGAAACCTATGAATAGACAGGGGAATGCAGCGGAGGAGTTACGGAATTCCCTTTAGTTGGAGAGAGATAAGGGGAGATGAACAGGCTTACATCTCGTTGGTGCGAGGGCGCCCAAGACCCTGCGATCTACGACACACTCGGGTTCGTTTGGGTGGCTCTTCCGCACACGTTCCAACTCGGCGTCGTTGTCCCCATTATGACTCGTTGTCAGCACTTCAATATCCCAATCCTTCCCGTTATTCTTGGGGGTCACCATGACTAATGAAGCAGATAAATAACGACTCGTCTGCCGTTAGAACGCGTAACGCACTGGCTTGACAATCGCCGAGGTTGGCAATCCAGAGATCCTTGTGATCTGGGTCAACAAGGGCGACAAGGGCGGTTGTGCCATACATGCATAAGCGTGTTTTTGTGTGGTTGGGACGACCTGGCAGATGCTGGTCGTTGATAGTGTCTCGAATTTGGCTGTCGGTGTAGTCATCAAGTTTGTCGACTGAGCCACCAAAGAGGTCGAGGACGTCATGTGCGATTGCATCGTCGAAGGCGATGATTGCTTTTGTGAAGAGGTCGGAGATATATTGGGGGTTGTAAGCTCCATCCTGGATAGACTTCTCTCCCTCAGCGAGAAAATCCCGGACGATGATGGGCAGGTGGTGGGCAACATGCTCGACCGTAACATCTCCGAGGTGGCCTGCACGTAAAATGAAAACTGGCTGCTTAGGAGACAAATTGCGAACGCACCGTCGAAGACACCGGTAAACGACCATAACCGCCCTCCCACGTTCAGTTGCGTCACCACATAGCGGTCCTGGGTCTTGGTCGATGGCGATGGCTGGAAATTGACGCTGTGGGCCCGGTACCTGCCCTGTGTGCCGACGTTTGAGCTAAGCGGTCGAGCGAGGATGCGTAGCTCGCGCCAGATCTCGTCTTCGTCGAGAACCTGGTACGGGCGCGGCCAAGGTCCATCCTCAGGTCCACACCGCGAACCGGGTATGTCTTCCGAGTAGGCCCAGTTGTACGAGGCGCGCTCGACAATCATAGCAATATAGCTGAAGAGCTGGGCGATGTAGTTTCCTAGAATTATGGCGGCGGCGATGAGGGGGACTAATTTGTGAGGGGTTCTGGGTATGGTAGAGGACAGGAAGGAAGAAAGGGAGCTTTGCTTATAATAAAGGGCCTGTCCACGCGACCGCGAAGGTCCGATAAGCCTGCAGATCCCGGTAAAGGGTTCCCAGCCCTGAGTACTCGAATGCCGTCGTGCGGGGTATCGTTCTGGACGTCACGCGGGGCTACTCTCTCCAACTGCCGCCGGGTATACGAAACTCTGAGGGAACGATCTGGGACGAGGTTGCAGTAGACTGGCAAAATGCGCAGCGGGAGAACCGTGCAATGTTCATGCTCCGTGATTCCACATGACAAGGAGGCGTGTCAGCTTGATTTATTTTCGATTTATTACATGCGAGTATGCTCGCAGAGATGTACAAATAGAAGCGAATGCCAGGCAGGCGCTAATGAAACATGTATGTAAGTGACCGAATAATGCGGCGTGAAGTGTGTGTAAAGTGCGGGGTAAACTATATGTGACGTTGTCTAGATGAGTGTCGTGATCAGAAGAAAGTAGGTTTGTCGTGAAATGAAGTGGAGTATGCTAAAGAAGAGAAGGCGGGGATGAAATAAAGAGTGGCAAGGAGAAACGCCACTGCCTGGAGGCGGTTGGTCATGCAGTCCGAATTGTCCGTTGGCGATAGAGTAGTCCCACTAGGAATGACCGAGACGAAACGTTTGTGAAAGAAGTTGGTCCAAGCTCACACTAAGCCCGAAGGTCAATTAGTAACCCCTTGGCGGAAAGGATTCCGTGAGCCCGAGCCGCCAGTGTGTGTCGGTTGCAGGACGACCGTGTCGAATGTCGGCTGGGGATGTTGCTGGAACAGTGACGTCTGCGGCTGAGGCTGCTGGAATGGCACTTGCATCTGCAAGCTACCACCCGCCGCATTCGGAGCGACAGGCGTAAGCCAATACGATCCTTGCCCGCCCGTCGTGTTAGGCGTCAACGTCACTGGAATAGGCAGGAAGCCCGGGCCCGTTGGCGCAATAGCAATGGGGGAGAAAGTCGGAAGCTGGGGCGGCGCTTGAGCTTGAGCTTGCGGCTGAGATGGAACACCGACGAGCTCAGGTCGGACAGACATCGCATATACTTGAGCATCGGTAGGCTGAGGTACCGGCGTGCCAGAGTTGACCATCTGCAACGGCAGCTGAAGCTGCGGTGGGTTCCTCCCATCGTCCTCGAGATCAACCAAGACGCCTTCCCGTGTTCCTCCGGTGACGTTTTTCCTGAGCTCAGTTCCGGCACCAGCGAGCCTCAAGCTCCTGGCACTTGAGAACATGGAGGCACCAGAAAGCTCCCTGCGCAGAGGCTGGCGAGGCTCAGGCGTGTTCCGCTGCTTGCCCGTTACCTCCTCGTACAAAGAATCGTGCTCGAGTCGGCGCCGTTGGTTCTGGGTGTAGTTGTGACGACGTTCTTCGAGGTCGGGTAGGGTGGATGGCGGCCGGCGGCTGGAGACAACAGAGTGCCGGGAGTAGTCGTAAGCGTCGATGAGCTCGTCGACATCGTCGATGGTCTCGCGCTTCGCGATAGGGTTGGCAGTCATGTTGATCTTGGTCTCGGGCTTTGACTTCGTCAGCAAGCGAGGTTCTTTGCTTCCCGTCGGACTAGCGATCCTGGTCATCTTCATGTCCTGACCATACTCATTAGTCACCATACTCCTTGGCCTCTCTTGACGATCGTAGGTGTATGCGGTCGGCAAGACATCCGCTTGCCTTCTCCTCCCAAACATCATCCGATCCCGATGACCAAAGAACCTCTCTCCAAACCTGACCAGCCTCTCCTTCCAGGTACGAGGACGATCCAGCCTCTTCATGCTTGCGAAGAGCTTCGTCTGCTGCTTCCTTTGCTTCCTCGCCCTCCTCCGCCAGCACATCAAGAACATGACGAAGATAAACGCACATCCAAGCGCCATCAACAAGATTTGCCACCACTCCAGCGGTTTCTTGCCCCCAGCGTCCGTTGGGTCCGTCAGGCCCGTAACCGTAGGCAACGGGACGGCGGTGCCCGTCCCATCGGGTGTAGGCACCTGCACCAACTCCGAGAGGCAGACGCCCAACCCAGGAATGACACTCGTCGAGCCTTGGCAGTTGGCATCGACGCATACACCCGCCCGGAGGACCTGTGTAGAGCTCGAGCACGCGAGGCAGTTGCTCGATCTAGGTCCGGAGCAGCTCGAGCAGCTCGAGTCGCAGGTCTGGCACGAAGAGGTCGTGCGGTCGAAGTACTGCGACTTGGCGCAGGTGGGGAGGCACCGGCCGTTGGAGAGGACCGGACGCGATGGAGGGCAGGAGGTGCATTGGTTAAATGAGGACCCTGAGCAAGATGCACAATCTGGATGACATTGGGTGCAAGAGCCGGGATTTGAGGATGAGGAAGCGAAGGTGTTGGAGGGGCAAGTCGAGACGCATTGTCCATTCGAGGCGAGCTGGCCACCTGTGCAGGTTAGGCAGAAATTGGCGGACCCGGCGCAAGTACCGCAAGACGAGGAGCAGGCTAGAAAGAAAATTAGATAGAGTCGAGAGGTTAATCGTCAGAAAACGTACGAGTGCAAGTGAGATTGTCCTGAGATACAAAGGTGCCTACGGGGCAGCTCTCGACGCACTTGCCCTCCGAAAGGACGAACTCAGGCAGGCAACCCGTGCATTGGAGCTGATCGACTGTCGATGCAACGCTAAAGTTGGGGATCCGACATGAAGTACATTTGGCTCCGCAAGCTGGGGGAAATGATGAGAAATTGATCGAAATAAAAAACGAACTAGGGACTTACTATCGCATTCACGCTTGTTGTTGTCCGCAATCATCCCATTCGTCCCTTGACACACGCCGTCTGTGTTCGCTCCAACGCAGTTGCCGTTAAAGAGGTATGTCCCAGTTGCGCAGACGATGCAGTCATTCGAAGTTGGACCGTTGCATGTGCGACATGCGGCAGAACATGGACTGCACTCAGCTCCGGAGCTGAAGCTGCCGTCCGGACAGGGCTGGCCATTGTTTCTTACACTGGGTAGAGGGTCGCATTTCGACTTGTCGTTGGCATTTTGGGTGAACCCTGGCTTGCAAGAAAGGCATGTCGCAGTATCATCGTCGCACTGATCACACCCAAGTTGGCAGACTGAAAAAAAAATCCTCAGAGATTGCAAACACAAAAGTACAAGAATACACACCTTGACAATCTCCAGCCGAATCAAGGAAGAAGCCAGACGCACACTTAGCACACGCTGTTCCATTCTCCGCGGTCGTCCAGCCAGGGTTGCACGTACACTGTCCGTTAGATCCGCACTGGCCATTCAAACAATTACACGTCGACGGTGCGTTCGTCACCAGCGGTGTCAGACAGCGTCCTGTTCCCGAAATACCCTGGTCACACGACGCACATCCCTCCGGGCAGGCTTGACACGTAGGTCCGAAGAATCCTTCCGCACAGGACTCGCACGACGAGCCGCTGAACCCAGGCGGGCAGGTGCACGTCCCAGAGGCGGAGCATACACCTGAGCCCGAGCATGGGGGCGAACAGGCCGATGATTGAACATCGACGAGCGAAAGGCCGCCTGCTGAGGTTGAGCCGGGAAGTTGGGAGATGTCCGGAATGGCGTCCCACAGAACCGTACGTTCCTTGTTCGCTCCAGACGTCACCGCGACCCAAATGTTGTTTGACAGCGCTATTGAGCTCGCAGGAAGGGGCGTCGAGACGTTGACCATAGGTTCGGAGGGTAGCCCCGAAAAGCCTGACTGTCCCGAGTAAAGCGATTGTGCATAGATGGCGAGTCCTGGTTGGAGGGCAAGGTTGAGTGGCAGAGAGACTTCCGACTCAGCATTGAAGCCAGGAGAGGAGTTGAGGGTGGCAGACGACGAGGTCAGTAGTGAGTGGAGTAATTGGGGGTTCGTCGTTGTCGTGTATTGACCTGGTAGTAGTTGAACGCTGGCTGAGGCCCCAGAAGCCGATAGCTTTGCACCAACTGCGTACGATATGTCAGGAACCTGAACATAACAAGACAAAATGACACTCACGAGTCGTGTTCGAATAACCCTGAAGACATTGTCCCGCAATGCATATGACAGAAGGTGAAGACTGCGCGACTGGCGGAACCATGTCAACACAAACGATACGCTGAACTCAGCAAGCAGGTACTTACCAACAGACGCGTGAAAAGTAGAAAAGAGAACGACAACGAGCGTCGCAAACATAACTGTCGACGAGCTCAAGATTCAACGAAAAAAGGTAGAGGTGGTGGGTGGTGCAAAGGCAAGCTGTCCAGGGCTCAACCGCGGCCCCAAAAAGGATTTCCTGTCGCTAAGCGCCATTGTTCTGTAATGGGTTGGCGCACAATGAACGGCGAAGCGATGGGAGGACGACGGTAGAGAACAATGGTAGACGATTACGTAGCTGATGCGCTTGCCGAAGCCGCTAATGCCGCTTCCCACGATATCCGACACCGACGAATTCAAGCTGCGCAATGTATTTTTACAAGATTCTATGATAGACGATTCAGAATACGGACGTCCAGACTCACATCAGGCTACACCATGACCGATTATCTTTCTACAAGTTCGGAGTTGACGGTGGCGACACCAAAACCTTCCACTCGGTTTCCGTTCCCTCTCCCCCAACTCGCTTGACGATGCCCTCTCCCTCCAACTTCGTCAGATGCAGGTCAATACCTCTTGCTGCCGGTAGCCAGAGGTTCTCGGGGTAAGCCTTATAAATAACACGAACAATATTCCATGTCGTCCAGTAGGCGGCCTGGACGCCACTGTTGAGCAACTCTGCTGGAATACTCGATTTCAGGACCCCAAGGATCTGGGCTTCCCTCTCCAACCGATGTTTGATATATGTGGCAATTGTTTCACGCCCGTTGGCGATGACCGCACCGTGTGCCGGGTAGAGAGTTACGTATTCGAGGTCGACATCTTGCTGTATGTCAAAGCCAGAGTCGGATGGCGCGGTGGCAGCTGGGGTTCCAAAATGCAGCATCTTATTCAGACTGGCGAGGTATGTCGCCAGATCCTCGAAGACCGCCGTGCCATGTCCGAGGACCGTGTCGGCAGTGTATAGTGCGCGATCTTGCGGTACATGAAGACAGATGGAGTCAACGGTGTGCCCGGGAGTGTGCAGCACACGAAGGAGAACCGCCCCAGAAGGTTCCTTGATTATTTGGCCCTCTTGCAGGTCGTGAAACGCATCACCATTGGGAGCGGCCGTGTATAATTCCTTCGATAATTCTCTAATGAGCTTGGGAAGCCTGAAGTAATGCGAGTTATGTTCTCCCTTCAGTGCGTCTCCTATAAGGTATTTGTGTAGGCGCGGAGGGACATATGGTGCCCCAGGATTGCGATTTTCCCAAAGCTCTTTGAGAAGAATGAGGACGGATGGAATGCCCCCAACGTGGTCGAAGTGCCAGTGTGAGATGATGATGTCTGAGACGTCGGGTAAAGAAGGGATGGTAGGCGCCGAAAGGGTCGTAAGCGCCTTAGAAAGCACCGGGGTGTATTCAGGAAGGCCCTCGCCGGTGTCGATTAGAATGTATGGGTTTTGAGACCCGATGATATAGGTGTTCGTTCCTGAGAGGAGGTCAGATTCGAAAATTGGAGGACGAGGGCTCCCGTTCACCTTGCAGCGTAAATTTCCCTGGATTCTGCGTAAATGATCAGATAGTATATCATATAGAAGCGAAAGAATAACACACCTGGCCCAACACCCTTACAACATGCTTGCTGAGCTGTTCACGAACGAGACCTCCGGTAAGATAGGGGCTTCCCCACAAAATGACGAATTCTCGTCATAAATTACTCACCCTAGTGATATCTCCCAGATCTTCCATACTTTCAAGCGTCCAATTGCTACAGAAGATTTACTTGAACAAAGGGTTGTAGTATGAGAACGAAAGAGGAGATTCACAAGGAGGTCGACGTGCGGGAGGGATGTCGTAATCGCTTGCTTTTATTGAAGTACTTTTGACTCGGAGTTCGGCAGGATAGAAAGCGGAAAGCCGGAGGTGATACAAATGGAGACAACCTCAGGCCCGAGTCTGCATTCCACAGAGGTTTGAAACTCGTACGTGAAAAGCTCGAATGCAGCATACATAGACGTTCAAATTTCAACGCCCTGAGTGTTGAGGAAAAGTAGTCTCCCGATGGCGGACTCCGATATCCGTTGATGATGAGTCGATCAACTTTTCATATGGAGTCTGCTACTAAACGCGCCCTCGATACCGGCGCAAAACTTTTCCACGCTATTTATTCCCACGGTTCATAACTTTTGGCAGATGGGAAAGCGCGATTGATCACGTGCTCGATAATGAGAACGCGCTCGGAAATGTATGAGGATGCAATGAGACGCGTCAGTCCGATAATCCTTGACCAAATGTCTGACCACATAGTTGGATTAGCAGTTTATGCATCTCTACTCGTAGCAAAGATTAAAAAAGGCATCTTAAACCCGCTGGAATGTGCTGTGACGCAGCAAGGTACTGTCCACAACCTTTGCTTGGACAGAATTTCATTGAATCATGGACAAAATTATATAGAAGGGTTATTTAGACAGCCAATAGTTGCTTCACGCGCCGCATAAGATAAAGGACGCAAAGTTGGAGCACGATGGGCATACTTTTGACCTCGGTGATCTCGGCGTGGCCAACACTCCGCTTCTGAAAAGTTCTGGGGTAGACTAAACACCAGGATTAAATTTTGTGACCATAAATTATGCGCAAGGGAATAGAAAAATGCTCCGTGAAACATCTCCTATCTAAAACAGCAAGCAGTAGGGAGCTTCCAACCTCCAACACTGGAGGCCCTTTGTCAGCTGCAAAGAACGAGGTCTTTCGAAGAGAAATTTTCACTAAAATGTGTGCTATGCTCTATTTAATTAGGAACTCAAAGCTTATTTGAACCTCCTGGTGGATTCGACGCGCTCAGTCGCGTCAAACACCCCATCCGTAGAGCCAGACAGGGGCGTGGGTACATACACGTGACCCAGAGAAACTGCGCCGGGTTGAATGGCGCGATTAAACCAAGACTACACCGCCATTTCCGCGAAACGCGTTAGCAGCGTGAAATTCTCACGGAGTTGAGGTATTTTTGGAATGTTGCGTCGACGTGGGCGGAATATTGTGGACAGTTTGACTCTGGGATTTGGACACCGTGACTACATTTAATGTGGGTAGCACTTGTAATCTGATAAGCTGTTCATGAATTTTGGTAGCTTAGACGGTTGCCTGTAACAATGTGCTGTCCATCTTCCTCGGCTTGTTTCTACCACCATCTAATTTGGTCTCATACCATGAAATTGTTTACTCTACCGGCATGTTTTTTGATGTGTTTTTGCGATACTTTTCAATAGATCAACTCCTTGCCTGTATGAACGTGTCGTTCGCATTTGTAGTTGGTGCCGTGTGATCCAAAGTAAAAGTGAACATTCACTCCAATTTCCCCCCCTCAATTACCCGTCGTAAATGAAATCGTTTACATTATTAGAATCATGTCTCAGGTCCGCTCAACTGTGCTTTTGCGATATGTTTCAACAGCTCAGCTACTGGCCCGTATGAATGTGTTGTCCAGATTGGTACTGGGCCCCATCCGACATACAGTAAAGGCGAACGTTCGCTTCAATTTCCCGCCCTCAATTACCCGTCGTAAATGAAATCATCTACATTATTATAATTGTGTCTCAGGTCTGCTCAACTGTGCTTTTGTGATATGTTTCAACAGCTCAGCTACTGGCCCGTATGAATGTGTTGTCCAGATTGGTACCGGGGCGTGTGCGATGCACTGTAAAGGCGAACATTTGCTACAATTTCCAGCCCATTGTTTGCAGTTACAAATTGCACTTCAGCCATGCCGACTCACAAGGCGGTAGCTAATCATTCAACCCAGCAAGGACTGACTCTCCTGAATCACCGTCAGTTATTATTGCAGAGGGGTTCAACAATTTGTTAAACACAAAAATCCTACAACATTTCAAGCCCTCGGCACCTGTCTTAAGCAAGGTCAGTTAGGTTATTAGAGCAGTGTTTCTCAGGTTGGGACCAGCATGAAAAATGGCCCATACAAAATGTGCATTTATCAAAAGAAGTCGCATCGATGCCCTGTTATTATCACACTATATCTATCCCCGCAACTACATCATCAACGCGCTGCTGCCACTCATCGGGAACAGTATCCCCAATCACATATTCTTCCGCCGCACCGTATGTAGCTCGATCAATCTTCAGGATTTCATTGAATGCCCTGCATAGAATGTCAGCTAATTATCAATGAAGAAGAATGAAGGGATGGTAGCCCACCTCGCTGTTTTAGAGGCCGAGGATCCTGCTCTTGTTCGGATAAATTCAAGGCGTGCATCGGTCAGATTCCAAAATTTTTCGCCACCATTGCATTCGGCGTGAACCGCACGCTAAAATTGCTCCAGTTCAGAAGGCAATATTGTGGACAAAGGACAAGAAGACACTTACCATGAGCGCAACACGGGAGCACAGCTGGATCGTCGTGCGACAAGGCGTGGAGTGAACAATCATCTGCGCAAGCGAAAATTTGCCTTTATACTGTCTTTAATCTGTATAACAATAAAGCGTAAGCGCTCCATTGCTCCATTGAAAAGAGGAATAATATTAATACACATACCAATTTCTTCACTCTGGCGCGGGTTTGAGTTAGTGAATAACCGACAAATGTTGATATCTTCTCCCAGTTGGCATAATCGTGCTCAATGCCCGCTGGCAAATCAAAACGATACCTCTTGAGAATATCCTGTAGGAAGATTAATTGCAACATTCCTGTAATAGACAAAATACGGACAAGAACATGGTTACGAGGGATGTCGCCCTTATAAGC